TTAAGCGCGCATCAGGGCGCTCAAGCGCGCTATCCTGGGCGCTTAAGCTCCCATTGTGACGTTTTAGCCCGCAGAGACAGAAGCATCTCCTCCTTCAGTGGCTAAGGGCGCTTAAGCGCGGACCAGGGCGCTCAAGCGCGCAACCCTGGGCGCTTAGCCCCACACTGGGCGCTAAAACACGAGGGGACAGTAAGCATCCCATCTTTCTGCAGCGAAGGGCGCTTAAGCGCGAGCCAGGGCGCTCCAGCGCGCAATCCTGGGCGCTTAAGCCCCCACTTGGGCGCTCCAGCGCGAGGAGGCTGAATGCATTGGCACTCACAGGGGCAGCAGGGCGCTTGAGCGCGCTCCTGGGCGCTGAAGCGCGCTGCCAGGGAATTCCAATCCCCACATTTTTCAAGTCCAAGTCTAGGGGAAGATGCATCCCCATACCAAACCCCAATTGTCCATGCCCCAAAACTAAATCCTAGCACTCATCCAACCTCTCCTCATGAGATTTAGCTAGGATTTGGGCAGCATAACCTTTGTTTTCTCAGCGTTTCCCAATTTAAACAAAAGGTACCTAATTGATTCTCAGCCCAACCAATTCAATAACTCAATACATAACAAGCATGCATATGTTGAATTTCAAGTAGGCATCATTTACATTACATATCCTTTACAACTCATGGAACTTAGCTTACAAAACACTATGATCATTCCCTTGGCTCCCATCAACAAAAGAGATGACCAAAGGCATGAGCATAGGCTAAGTTCATTCCAATATACAAATCATAAATCTAGCATTGCCTATTCATTACAATTCTATACATGTGAGCTACAAAACAACATGTACAATCTCAAAAGAAATGCCACATTTCATGCATAATCCAGATATGGCCACTTGCCACCAGAGGCTCCTGCAGCATCCTTACCTGAAAGGGGGTCCCCACAACACGGGGTGAGATATACGAATATATCCAGTAAACCAGGGGTCCTTGGAGCATCTCTCCACCCCACAGTTCCATATCAATGTAATAGCAATAACAATAATAATGCAGTAAATACATATCTATGCAAAGTGCAATAACATCTCCAGGAGAAATCCCTCGAGCTCTCAAGCTGTCCTAAGGAAACTCAGATGCAAATAGTCCTACTGGCCAGCTAACTACCAAGTATGATTTATGCATCGTCATGCAACATACCATATAGGGAAACACCATCCTATGCCACACCAAATGCATACACATACGTATAACAAAGCATTACACTATTTCATTGCATTTATATACACTATAATCACCACTACCCTTTCAGGGCTTGGTGGAACAATCAAGGGAATTACACCCAAGGTCCGAAGGCTTACCTCAAGCTTCAATTCGACCTTTGTTCACCACCAATGTCAACAATACTCTACTCCAAAACCAACACCTACACATGGTGTAATGCAATCAACACATTGCATCCAAGAGTATTTCACAATCAACCATCAACTACTCAATTCAAAACACTACACAAGTATGAGCTTACCAATTCCAATGAGCTACTCAAGCTCCATAGCTTGCTCAAGCGGTTGATCACTCACGGTCGGTCCAAATGTCTCAATCCTAGACATCATTAGGACACAATCATCAATCAACCAAGCCAAACCATTTATTAACAATGCAAGAAATCCAATATCAAGCATCATATTCTTGCCATTTTACAAGTATACTCATTTAGCTATCTAAGCTCATTTTCACCGATTAAATGTCGTTCCTAGCATTTTTCACAACATGCTCTAAGCTCCATTCTTCCTAGAACATAGCTAATTTTAACAACATTTCATCAAAATCCCTAAACACTATTCATAAACCCTAACTCATGCAAATTTCAAGGAATCATGAGGTTCAAGGGTTAGAATCTTACCACCAATGGTCACACAACCAAGGATTGATGGCTCCTCAAGCTTCAATGGAGGTTGAAGCACTCAAAACCCCAAATTTCTCCAAAGGGCCGAATTTTTGAGGAGCAATATCCCTCTCCACAATGCTCCCCACTCAAAACCAAGCTAGGATTATGAAAGAGGGGAAGATTTGGAGTGGTTTAGGCTTTGGAATCACTCAAAATGGTTGAGATTAGCTCTCTCTCTCTCTCTCTCTCTCTCTCTCTTCCTCCCTTTCCCTCCTTCTCCTTCTTCTTCCTTTCTTCTTTTCTCTGATGCTGGCGACGGGAAAATGGGGTGGGAAATGGGTTTCTATTTGCTTTGGCCACTTAACATTAGTTAAGTGGAATCAAGTGGGTATTGGTTCGTCTATATATTTAACTCCAATAATTACCAAACTTTACCCAAAAGTCTGGAATATTATTCTAGGAATATTAATATTTTTATTTCTATATTTTGGGTACTTTTGCCAGTACCCATTTATACCCCTTAATTTTCACTGAGTACACTTTTTAACTTCAAAGTGACTCAGATTCATTTAATTAAGCATTATACTTAATTTTACTCACTAAAACATGCTTAATTATTTAATTACATGTAATTTGCTAATTAATTAGGTTAGGGCTATTATAAATTCCCTTGATTGTTCCACCAAGCCCTGAAAGGGTAGTGGTAATTATAGTGTATATAAATGCAATGAAATAGTGTAATGCTTTGTTATACGTATGTGTATGCATTTGGTGTGGCATAGGATGGTGTTTCCCTATGTGGTATGTTGCATGACGATGCGTAAATCATACTTGGTAGTTTAGCTAGCCAGTAGGACTATTTGCATCTGAGTTTCCTTAGGACAGCTTGAGAGCTCGAGGTATTTCTCCTGGAGATGTTATTGCACTTTGCATAGATATGTATTTACTGCATTATTATTGTTATTGCTATTACACTGATATGGAACTGTGGGGTGGAGAGATGCTCCAAGGACCCCTGGTTTACTAGATATATTCGTATATTTTACCCCGTGTTGTGGGGACCCCCTTTGAGGTAAGGATGCTGCAGGAGCCACCAGTGGAAAGTGGCCATACTTGGACTAGTAGTGATGCATGATGATTCTGTCTTTTGATATTATACATGTCATTTGTAGATTTACATGTATAGGATTGATCATTGATAACATTGACGTATGTATAACTCGTTATATTTGATGGACTTAGCCTATGATCATGCCATTGAATATCTCTTTTGTTGATGAGAGCCAAGGGATGATCATAGCCTTTTGTAGCTAAGTTCCCCGTTATGTAATTAAACTTGTATTAATGCTATTTACTTCAAGGTTACGAATGCATGATGAATATTGGATTGTTGAGCTGGAAATTATATTAGGTACCTAGTTCTAAATTGGGAATTGTTGAGAAAACAAAGGTTATGCTGCCCAAATTTTAGTATAATTCATGAAGAGAGGTTGGATAAGTGCTAGGGTTAAGTTTAGAGGCATGAACCATTGAGGCTCATGAGGATGCCCTTTTCCCCTAGTTTTGGTCTTGAGAAATGAGAGGGGGTGAATTCCCTGGCAGCGCGCTCAAGCGCCCTGCTGCCCCTGTGAGAGCCCATGCTCACTGCCTCCTCGCGTTGGAGCGCCTCGAGTGGGGGCTTAAGCGCCCAGGGTTGCGCGCTTGAGCGCCCTGGTTCGCGCTTGAGCGCCCTTAGCCACTGAAGGAGGAGATGCTTCTGCCTTTGCGCGCTAAAACGTCCCAAATGGGGGCTTAAGCGCCCAGGAAATCGCGCTTGAGCGCCCTGGTGCACGCTTAAGCGCCCATTTATACTGAAAGACCTGATGCTTTCTGCCTCCGCGTGCTTAAGCGCCCAGATGGAGGCTTTAGCGCCCGATAACGCGCGCTTGAGCGCCCGGTAGCGCGCTGAAGCGCGCGGGGCCTGTGTCCAACACCCTCTTGTGTTGCTTCAAATTGTCATAACTTGGGCTGCAGTGCTCCAAACGAAGCCACGCGTAGCTAATGATTAGGAGAAGACCTTTAATAACATTTGGTCTAAGGATATAAGAGTATGATGTTAAACTTAATTTATTTTATTCCGCAATGTAACATGGTTATGATCACGCGATTGGGCATTATAATTTCGGCATGTTTTAAAATGAAAAATTTAACCGGATTTTAATTGAACCCGTGTGATTTAAACTGCTCTTAATATCATAATGCGATGTTAACAAACTGGTTCTAGAACGAGGTGTTACATATATCATTTTTGTCTAAATGAAAATGGAATCCTAAGAAATGAGATTCTTCTAGAAGATAATCTGCATATGCAAGAAACTAGGTTCCTAAGATAAACCAGGTCAAGAAATTGGGTTCTTAGACTTTATGAGGCAAAGGGTGCCCTTCCATGAAATATTTCGGGTTTATGCTTATAAAAAATTTCTTATGTGATGACAAGAATATAATGTAGTTAATTTGATATTTTTCAAATATTTCAAAGTATTATGAATTTGTCCTGATATATATAGAAGAATTTTTTTAAATAGTACACTTATGAAAACCTTTTTTCACTAGTATCTACACTTATTAAATATCTCATTAAATATGTATTTTCAAATATAAAATGTAGATATTTGAATAATTACTTAATATATCCAAGTTACATATACAAAATATTATAATAATCACTTATTCAGTAATTTAGCTAGAAAATATATATTTTTGTTATATTTATTTGAATGGTTCATACTTCATATTACTATATAATATACGTGTAGTTATGTAATTCAGAAAATAAATAAGATGAAACAAGTATCCTTACAGGGGATGTTACATAAACCAAATGTACAAGTCTTAATTGCAACAATAAGGACTTAGTTCTAAACGGGTGCGTGAGTATATCAGGTGTATAAGTGATCATAATTCACAAATCATGAGTAATAATAGCTTGGTGAGACTAAAAAAGTGAAGGTTATATAAGGTAAATACAGGAAACTAAAACGTATACAGGAAACTCTGCTTATAGAGACTTTACGTGTAAGCAGCCTGGATATAGGAAACTAAAACGTTTCAATTGACTGCATATAACAGAAGTACATAATTGAATAAACATGCTAGCGCGATGTCCAAATATAGACCTGGCCTCCACTTGTAGCTCCTGCTAGCGTCCCAACCTCGTAAGGGTGAGCATCGAATCTACATGGAATGGCAGATATGTGAGGGCTCTCTAGAGTCATAACTGTTTCCCTTCGAACTGCTGAGACAACATCAACTCCTCTTTTCATATTTCCAACGAAGATATACGAGTCATCCCAACCCCATATTGCTCTGCTACCACAAAATCAAGCTCACAAAAGTCAACTTGGTTTTTTACGATAAGTTGGCAATGTATTAGGTATCAATAAGTTTGTAGTGCAACACAAATTCATATCATAACTACAAGAAGTTTCAGATTATGCTGATCAAATAAATTCAATTTTACGTATGAAGAGTGAAAGCTTGATTAAAATGTAAAAATCAGCTCTAAAGAGTTTAGAGTTTAAGTTCCACAGCTTCTGAGACTTCCCAAAAAACCATACCTGAAAGAAGAAATCCATCTGCCAGTCTGATTGTTATGATATGTAGTAGCTGCAACCTCCAAGTTCACTCCACTGTATATACCAATTGTGTTGTCCGTGCTACATCAAGATTATAAAATCCCCATCCAATAAAAATTAGAATTAGGTAAAACAAGGTTTAATACAATTGAGGATAAATTGGAATCAAGTTTAACATGTTGAACTAAAGTTAGTGAAAATGATAAATAAAAGACCCCGCAAGTAAGCATACTCACACTATACCTAACTTTCAGTTTGCAAAAATGGTAATATTTAGAATGGAACAAGCTCCATACCTTGTAGTTGCCAGGCTACATCCAGAAGGAGAGAAGTAAGCAGATTGTACGGCCCTTTTGTGGGTAAATGTCTTCAAGGCGGTGAGCTTACCCCCATCAGTATATCTCAAATCCCAGGTGCAGGCAGTTCCATCAGAGGAACTAGTAGCTACAATGTGAGGGTTTTCACAGTTGAAATCTATTGTATTTATCCTATCTTCATGTAAAACCCAATTCGACGAACATTTACCAATCCTGTTATCCCAAATAGTCAAACCTCCACGACCCTCACCAAAGTATAGGCAGTTTGCCTCATTTTTTGGTTGAGAGAGAGTATATATGCATTCATCACTATTAAATACCAGATCAAACATTTCCTTCTCAGCATCCATTAGCCGAACCAATCCATCATAACAACTAGTGTATATCTGCATATAAAATCATTGATCATAGCATCAGACAAATTCTGCAACTGACAAAATGTAAAGCTGATAAAATAAAGAGGCGGAATGTTGATTGATTTATCTACAATACAATGAGTTGAAGGCACAAATTAATTCAACCAGAATTTTGTCTGGGTTCGGGCACAGGGTAAATCATAAATGTAACAATTGATTCAACCAAATAAGCTTCAGAAGACGATAGTTCACTGTAATTTTAAATTTTAAATTACATTCACACTTTTTGATTACCCACTGGACTCCTGAAAATAGCTAAAAGAAAAAATTACAAAGCAAGTGCAGTGATTTAGATGTGAGAGGGAAAAATAAAGGAAAATACCCATTTATCAAAATCATGCTAGAGAAACACTGTTTACGTGCATTATCTATCCATTGCAGTAAGACCAAAAGACTGCACTTCCTCTACATCCAAATGAGTGTAAAATTTAACCATGTCAGAAAATAATTGCAAAGTCATAATGTTATGCAGTTGCTTTTTTTGAGTCTCTGGATTGCTTATAATTAAAAGAAACTTGACAAATAGACGGTAATTGTTCAGAGTTCAGATACAGCATCATACTTTGGACAAGCAATGTGGTTGAACCAAGATCCCTGAAATGGGAGCCTCATGGGGATGGTATAAATAAACCTCACTTTCTCCAACATTCATGAATCCAATATCCCCATACTTGTTGCCCGCAACAATCATCTTCACACTACTGGAAGGAAAAAACCTCACATTAGTTATCCTTCCAGGAACAACACGTGCTATATTATCGGGATCCAAAGACAGAGATTCCAACTTAAAAGCCTCAATTTCCCCCTTCCTCTTTTCTACACTTGCATCATTAAAAAATTCCCTCTCTATGCAACTACCAAATTGTTCAGGGGATTGAGCTTCCTCATTGCCCATACCAACAAGTGCTTCAACGAAGGAACGATCAGAGCAAGCGCCTCTATAAGCATCAGTCATGGGAAGAGGACCAAAACTTTTCACGGAAGGTTCGATTTTGGTGGGAGATTTGTTAGTGAGAGAGTTGAAATCCACAGCATCTGCATCTAAACCTTTGGAATCAGGTGGGATACCCCTCGTGCGCAGGGAGCGCCTAATCACCACTGGGGTTTCGGTTTTGGGTTTCTTTTCGGATTTCACAATGTGCGATTTGGTTCCAACCCTGCCAATTGCCAATGCCATTCATCAACAACACTTATGAATGTTTAATTACAATGTATAATTCACAGTTGAAAAGTGAAAACACAGAGAGAAGAAGAAGAAGAGGAAGAAGAAAACCTTGGACGCTTGGAGAGTAGTTCGGTGGCTTTGGAACGGAGTTTGAGGGCAGCCATCATTTCATCATTGCGGCGAATATTGTCGAGTCGCTTGCGTTCGTACTCACTAACTTGCTGAGTCGCCATTGAAGAGAGAGAAAGCTAGGGATTTCGAATCACTGTTCAGGTTTTGTTTTCCAATTTTATTTATATTTTTTTGTATATAATTATTATGTATGGGAAGGTGGTTTTGGCGGGAACTGAGACTCGCGGGAAAGGAAATTCATATCCTTTCCTATTTCATTCGATTAGATTACCACCGTGGCTAAATTTTATTTTATTTTAACAGAAAATCATTTATGCATGAGAGAAAGAAACCCTAAAGAAGAGAGAGATACTAACACGGAACCCACTCTTATTTTGTGTCTGTATGACAAAAATATTTTATGCCACAGATGCACAAATGATTTGCCCTTTTTTTAATTCCTTTTTTGTCAACGAGCTGATATAAGTTTTATTTTTAAAAAATTTGATAAAAAAATTTAATTTTTATTCCTTCATTACAATTATTCCATAATTTAAAAGGATTTTCGTTTTATCCTTTAAGATAACACAATTAATTTTCCTACACTCACAATATTTTGTGGGACACACACTTTTTAAAACAAAAAAATAAATAAAAAATTAAGGTACGCAAAATGAATCTCTATAACATTATACAATCACTTTTCCTACAACATAACTCTTATAAAACCCAATTTAAAAAGCACAAACATGTTAAAACAGAAGAGTCAGTGTTCGACAATACGCTCCTAATACGTGTCCTCCACCCGATCAATGATTTTGGATACTTTGACAAATTCGACACGCGTTTTTTAGCGAGTTAGACATGGTCAAATAACATTTTTTTAAATAAAATCACAATTTTATAATTTAAAAAATCACAATTTTATAAAAATATACATATAATAAAAATTAAAATATAAATAATTTGTGAAAACTCAAACTAAATAGAGCGAAGGAAATTGTTACAACGATTCAAAAAGATAAAATTATTTCTTCCTTCGTTTTAAATTAAATCCCTAAATTTATTCAAATTGAACAACACCCAAATAATTCACTCACCAAGCTTGAGATGATAGTTCTCATAAAGTTGGCGAAGATGAAAATGTTCCATTAATTAAAAATAATTGAACTTTTATTTTAGGGTTCGTTTTTCTGCAGTTATTGCAGATAAGTTATTTGCAATAAGCTCAATACGACGTCGTTTCGAGGAAAAAAATTATAGTATTTTTATAATTTTAATTTATTTCAGGGTTATTATAGTATTTATAATTATAATTTTTTAATTTTTTAATCCCAAAACGATGTCGTTTTAAAAGTAAATAGAGATAACTTATCTTCTAGCAATATTTTTCTGTTTATTTTAATGTAGTCTATTAAACTTATGATTTTTTATGAATATTCTATTATTTTACTTTCTTTTAGTCTAATAAAATTGTTGAAAATAATTTATTTACTTTTATTTATTTATTTATTTACTAAATCAACGGATATAATCAATTTTGTTTATTTTTTGGTTATGTTATTGAATATGAAAGTAATATACATCACATATATTATAAATACTATTTAATATTAAAATGTGTCAACATATAGATTTTTTTTTTTTTTTTAAATTGGCGTATCGGAATGTTTTTAAACCATAACTGATTGCATGAAAGTTACAAGCTTCACAATGACAGAAATTGGAAAGCAGAAAGCATATATATATATATATATATATATATATATATATATAAAAATAAATAAAAAAACAAAAATAAACAAATTTTATTTTCTAACTTCTAATTTATCAAATATGATATTATATTTATTTCTTCATTCACTGACATCTAAAGAAAACCAGCTACAACAAATTTTTCATAGTATTACACAATTGTGTGGCCTCTGAGCTAAAGGGAAAAGTGGGAGTGTTAAGCGCAAGATATATCGTTGTACTTGTATCTGTTTCCACTAAGGTTTAAGCTCTGATCGCATCCTATGAAGATTTCCATTCCTTAGATGCTTTTAGACTGTGTAGTGTTGCTGGATGGTATCGATGTCAAGACCCTTCAACTTCACCACAGATTCAACATGTCCCTTGAGTGTGTGGAGTTCTTTGAGCCTGAAAATTTTGATACATCAAAACAAATATATTACTATACAAGATTCAAATTCAGATTCACTAGATGCATTCTGTTAAAAAGTTTTATGAGTTTGGTGTATTGAACCTTGCAGCCTCAGCACGTCTCCTAGCTTGGTCAGCAATTTCAGAATGCTCATGGTTGTTGTTCTTGTGGGATTCTGGAACTTCGAGACCATGCAATGTGCGTTGAGCCAAGGCCCATTGAGCCTCCCTCTCACCCTTTCCATAGTCCTTCTTTGTTGTGAAAGCAATCTGCAATGCATCAACATGATTGCATTATTGCAGTGAGAAACCATAAATTAAGTTTAGTGATAAAGACTAGAAAAGAAAATAACAAAGGAAGTTTAGTTAATTTTTAGAATGTCATAAACTTGTTTCTAGACCTTGTTCTCGAGCATGTTGTCCCAGGCTCTTCCTGACAATCCAAAACGGATTATGAACTTGAGGATATCAAGAGGAATGTAGGTAACAATGCTAAAGATCCAGATTGCTCCAGCCCAACCCCAACCAATTCCATGGATTCTGGCAAAGCCCCAGTGGCAATACACAGCAATGACAGTGGCCACCTAAGTTCAACATTTGCCAAGTTAAAACCATATATATGTTAATTTCCATTGATGATTTCATAGAGAACAAGTTTTCAAAATGGTAGAAAGAAACTAACCAACTGTGCAGCAAGGAAGGCTGCAATAAGCAAAAAGCCAGGGCGTTCAACATAAGACCAGCTCCTTGACCTGGTCACGAAGATGAGTGCTTGACTAATGATACTAACTTGAAGGTAGAGAGCTGAGTTAAGCATATCCTCACTGTCTGCAATTGGCTTGACACCAAAAGCTTTCTGAAAGAACGAGAGAAAACATACATGCATGTCATGTAACAATTCTATATGATGGGGGTGTGTATTCAACTACTAGAATTTCAGCTTGAAGTACTCACAGTGAAGAAATCTGTGTCATGAACTAAATAGAAGAACACCACGGTGATGATGGCCATGTAAGCTCCAAGAACAACTCCGGTAGCAAAGATTTCTTTAAGCTTCCATGAGTCAGGCAAAGGTGATGGCTTCACCCTATCCTTGGAGATGGTCATGATGGTTCCATCGTTCAAGATGGCAATGATGAGGACCATGAAAGGTGAGAAGTCAAACTTCCAGATAAGAGCAACAAGCATGAACCCAAACACAATACGAATAGTGATGGAAACAGCATAGATTGTGTAGTTCTTCATCCTCTGGAAGATGGCCCTGCTGGTTAACACAGCACTAACAATCACACTGAGTCCGGGTTCTGTCAAAACAATGTCTGAGGCACTTCTGGCAGCGTCAGTTGCATCAGCAACAGCAATACCAATGTCTGCTTTCTTAAGTGCTGGGGCATCATTCACACCATCACCAGTCATTCCACAAATGTGTTTTCTGTCCTGCAACCTCTTGACAATCTCATACTTGTGCTCTACATATATATATATATAGCACATATGAAAAATCAGTTAGTGTTAGCCTTATGCAATTTTCTTTTTTCTTTTTTTCTAGTTTAACATAAATTAGATTCAACTCATTACCAGGGAAGACTCCGGCAAATCCATCAGCCTTCTCAATGAGTTCATCAATTGGGATTGATGCAATGGCAGGGTCCTTATTCTCACCAAGAAGGGAGGATGAAGGATACATGTTGGTGCCCATTCCAAGTCTGCGACCGGTTTCTTTGCCAATGGCAAGTTGGTCACCAGTGATCATCTTAACATTGACACCAAGGTCAAGAGCACGGCGAATAGTCTCAGCACTGTCATGCCTTGGAGGGTCAAAGAGGGGCAAGAGGCCTAAGAACTCCCATGAGTCTCCTTCACTCTCCTTGTTCTTTTCTGAAACAGTCTGTCAAAGAGAAGAAAATCCATTAGTTTTGTAAGAGAATTTTCTCATTTTGCTTTCTAACAGTTAATTCATAGTCTCTTATATTAGATTCTTTATTCACCTGTCGTGAAACACCCAATGAACGCAAACCACGCTCAGCAAACTGATCAATGGTGCTATGTGCCTTTTTCAAAGCCTCTCCCTTGAGCCCACAGAGTTCAATAATCTGATATATAAAAAAAGCGTAGGTAGTCAAATATCAGAAAGATACATGTTTTATATATTTAAAGAATAGCTATTAATGCTATATTAGTGTATATTGAATCATATTGGTAAATCCATTACTTGCTCAGGAGCACCCTTGCTGCTTCTGTGCCAGTTGCCTTGGCTGTCAATGTAGGTAATAGCTGTGCGCTTGTCCACTGGGTTGAAGGGCAAGAAATGCACCTCAGTGATTCCTGCTCTTGCCTGAGATGTCACAATAATAGAGCAGAGTTGACAAAGTTAGCCACTTTGCATGCTTCATGTTAACAAAAGACAAGATTAAGGTTCACAAAAAGAATGTCAGTTTGAATCTTGATACCTCCTTGGGGTCGCTCAACATCCCAACAATTGAAGCATCAATGGCATCCTGGTTTTCAACCCTAGAAGCCCTAGCAGCATACAAGACAAGGCTGTCCTTGTCCATGCCTGTGGGGAACACCTGCATTCACAAACAACCTTGTTTAGAACAAAAAGGAAGCTTTTGGTGCAAAGACATCTTAATCCATGCTAGCGAATCTTGAATTCCTAAGCTAAATGCATGTAAAATTGATTTAGGTAAACAACTAGAAGGTTATTTTAATAAATGCAAATGTATATATATGTTTGCTAATTGCTGAGGTATCACAACAAATGTGCCTAGATATCAAAGCTATTATACCAAACCTGAGAATCTTAAATATCTATGCATGGTATCTGGATGTATGTATGTGAAAGGTCTTCAGGAAGAGACCCACTAATGCAAGGTGTTGATTCATGATCACGTTTTGGGCAAATAAAATGTTATAGATTGGTCATTTACCTCAATCAAGGTCTTGTCCACAGTAAGCTTGTTAAGGGTGAGAGTTCCAGTCTTGTCACTGCAGAGAACATCCATCCCAGCCATTTCTTCAATGGCAGTCATCCTCTTAGTGATGGCTCCTTGCTCAGACAGGCGGTGAGACCCAATAGCCATGGTCACAGACAAGACTGTTGGCATGGCAATTGGGATACCTCCAATGAGAAGAACCAACAAATTGTCAATACCTTCTCTGTATGCCCTTTGCTGGATGGGGTACATCACAACAATTTCAATCAACATTCCCACAGCAATTGAGCAGATACAGAAGTTTCCAATGGATGTCAACACCTAATAGAAGCCAATCAAATATCCAAAGATTAGTCCAAAGTTATCACACTTAAGAAACCAATAGTATACAACAACCACTCATTGAAAGCTAAAGAATTAAAGATGTACCTTTTGGAAGTGACCAACATTGTTGGTGCTGTCTACAAGATGTGCAGCCTTGCCAAAGAAGGTATGGACACCAGTGGCAATGACAACAGCCTCTATCTCACCTTGTTTGCAGGTTGAACCAGAGAAGACCTCATCACCAGGGTTCTTGGTGACTGGCAATGACTCACCAGTGAGGGCAGATTGGTCAATCTTGAGGGGATCACCCTCCAAGAGACGGGCATCAGCTGGGACAATATCTCCCAACTTGATGCTGATCAAATCTCCTGGCACCAACATTGCTGCCTCCTCCTCACTCCATTTTCCATCTCTCAAAACCTACAAAATTGGTTCCTTCTTTTTTAGCCGCTGAATCTAAAATTTATATTGGAAATGTGCATGGGAGTGCATGAAAATGAATGAACAAAACAAATGTTATGTTACCTTGGTTTTTGGTGCAAGACCAGCCATTAAAGCTGCTGCGGCATTGCCTGCATTGTTTTCCTCAATGAAACTAATTGTTGAGTTGATGATGAGCAACACAACAATACCAACGAAATCTTGCCAATCCGGTGGCTTGCCCTGTTATATTTACAAGTTATTGTCAGATAAAATTGAAGACATTGTGAGCAATGAAACACATAAACATAAAAGAGAGATGAGAGATTTATAATTACCCCTCCATTGGCCAATGCAATGGCCATGATAGCAGCAGCCTCCATAACCCATGATAGTGGATTCCACATAAAGCCCAAGAATTTAAGGAACTTGCTCTCCTTTTTCTCCTCTAGCTTGTTGGGGCCAAAAACTTGTAGCCTCTTTTCTCCTTCATCTGATGTCAGACCCTCTCTGCTACATTTTAGCTGCTTAAAAACTTCCTCAACAGGAATGTTTTCCTTCACATATACAATACAACATAACAACTTGTCATTGCAAGGAAAGGGGGAACAAAAATATGTAACAAGCTGACCAAAAAAAGCATGCCAAATAAAAAAGTGAATAAATTTAAAATAATGATTTTTTTTTTTTCCCTTACAAGATCAATATTCTCGTTCTTGAGGTCCTCGAATGAGATGTCAGAAGCCATGATGTCAAGAAAGGTGAACTGTGTCTCGTCCTAGTTCCTCTTTCGTACCTTCCCTTTCCTTTGGGATTTTTTCTTTTCTCCTTTCCTTCAAGGAGCTTTTGCGAGCTCCCCTTCCTCTAGGCCCCTACAATCAGAGGCCTTGGAAGGGTAGAAAGCCAAAGAGAAGGAGAAAAAACGAGACAGGAATGTTGCTATGGGAAGGTGACAGGAACCTCAAGGCCCTTGTTTCCCTTTTTATACTTAACGTTGGAGACGGAATAGGCAATGCATGGTTACCCTGTGAATGCTATTATTATCTTCGGAGTGTTTGTTGCATGGCTTTTGTGGTTCACCAAAGTCCCCGGGGTGACGTGTGAGATGCATATTTGCTTGCAACCTGTGTTCACTTTAGTTTCTTTGTTTGAATATCAGGCTAGCAGTTATTTTTGTTAGTTGTTTATTACATGCCAAATTCAGCAAACCAATCATAAACCAGTAAATATATTGTGTGGTTCAAATTTCAAATTGGAATTATCATTTGACCAGGTTGTGTAATAAAATAGACTCATTCTCTCGCACCAGTAACATTATGATTTTAATGGAAATTCTTTTGACAATGCCATTACAAAATTATATACCATGTCATTTTGCAATGATTTTTGTAAACAAACTTTGGTCTGATAGCTCTTCAACAAATATGACTTGGGTACCATCTAATGGTAACGACCGACTAAGAATAAAAACATTGGTAGGTAAGCACTGCAAAATTTTAAGGGTTTAGAAGAAATCTTAAAAACTGAAAATTGGAGGACATAAAAACTGAAAAATATGGACATAAAAACCGTAGCTCCCCAAAAGAATATGGAGTTTCGTACTTTCGTCCCTTTTGGCATATGTAATTTTTTTTTTTCAGTCTTACAAGCGCAGGAAAACAAAAAAAAAACAAGGGTTTTATGTTTATTATTTTACATAACATAACTTCACTTTCCTACACACATATTAAAGAGATAACTTCACTTTCCTACACACATATTAAAGAGATGGAATCCACATATTTTTATTTCTCTTTAGTCATTTTATTTTCTCTCTCCTCATTATTGTTTGTGTTGTAAACTAATGTTATGTAACATAACATTAATAAAATCCAAAAAAACAAACAAAATAAAGCCACCAATATCATTTAAAGTTAGTTTCATCACGTCATGTTATTAGTTCAAGATTAAATATTTCATAATTGGTTTAATTTTGAAAAGTTTAGAGTTGATCCTTTGCTGTCATTTTCATGATTATCACATTCAATTAGGGGGGAAATTGTATAAGAGAAGTGTGTATCATTTTAAAGAATATAAAATCGTGTCATTTTAAATAATAGAAAGAGATAAATCATAAGAGAATAAAAGAAATTTTTTTAAAAGATGTTGAGTTTCACTTTTTTATAAGAATGTAAAATGTGTCATTTAAAATGAGACACCTTTTTCCCAAATTGTATATCCATAATTTTCACGTCTTGATACATCATTAACGTTTTGATCTTCAAATCAGTAACTAAATAAAAGTCATATAATCCCATTTACGTTAGTTAAGGCAAAAACGCCAGAAATATAAATACCGTACAAAATCCTAATTATTTATTTACAGCTAAAATTCAGACCCCATACTTAATTACAAGAGATTTTTATGACCACCTTCAAGTTCAAGATGCATGGCTTTTGAACTTGTACCTTATTGTCGCATATCTGTTCGAAAATAATATACATAGAAAACTGGAGAAATGTCACATTTATGTTCAAAAAGTTGAAAATACCAAACTATGACTTCAACCTATTTCTGTGTCGTATTTAGCTATTCCAAGCAAGATGCATTTTAAAGAGAAAAATTTAAATTACAACCATTAATTGGAAAATCATCGAAGTTAATGTTAACAACTACATGATTTGTTACACATGCATATGTATTTTATAATGATGTCAGCTATTGACTTCTAATCAATGTTTTGTACCTACACACTTTTTCTTCTAATGTTAACCCCTCACTTTATAGTACGGAAACAAAAAAAAGCACAAGTAAGTAACTACAAGGGCATTATGAGAAAAGCAGTAGATGTAACAGCTTCATCACTGAGGCAACGACCGGATGCGTGAAAGAATAGATCCCTTTCTCCGCATATCACGGACCCAACCCAAAAAAACCATCTTTCTACATGATCCCCAGGTCCGTACTACAGTTGTAGTTATATCAGACACGATCAACAACTCAAAAGTCTTTTTAGTGCAGATCTAAGAAACTATCAATATTCCTACAAAAAGTGGAACACTTGACCTTAACATTCAGTGTCCTCTAAGGAGTAATGACTTTGCTTCTTCAACAATAAAAGACAGTATTCTCCATTGGATAAGCTGTTCTAACACTTGCCACAAAACAAGACGATGCTAAAGGCATTTCAAGAGACAGTTCCCCACTAGATACTCCAAACCATCCCGCCTATGATTAAAATCACTTAAGGTATTACAATCTAGAATCATGCAGCTTGCTTCCACTAAAGCTCCAATTGACCCTTTTGGCTGCTTAAACTCTATTGTGTCCCAGCTTCGGTCTTTCTACGAGTAGCATACCACGAATGGGTAGGGCTAATTCCCCCAGCCTGACTATAATGGATCTAACCAACCAACTTTAATAGCATAATGAAACATGCAAGGATATCGAAATCAAAGTCAGCAAATTTGAAACAAGATATTCATAGTAAGCATGCCTGTGCAGCCGTGCAATTCTACTGTTGAAATCATACAACATACGCGGCACAACTAATGTATGCATACAAACATACACTGTCACTGGGTAATATCCCCTAGTTGAGTGCTAAGACTTTTACCAGCAATAACAGGTAACAATCACCATTCAAGATTACCATAATATAAGATTTTCATCAACCATATGAATAGCAAGTGGAAATTAAACAAAACAACGGCAACACATGAAAACCTCCATCACTGTTTCACATTAATAATAAAATAAAAATAAAAAGTTACTGTGAAGTGAGAAATAAACGAGGGGGAAAACACTCATCCTAATATTCATCCCTTTGAGACCAGAAAATGGATCAAAGTTACAATCTTTCAATCTTAGGATTACGCTAATAACCTAGAATTTCGGGAAGAGGTTGTTCATCCACATTAAAATCCGAGTTTGGTGCGGCGCCAGTGCCTACGCTTAGCATTATACCTGAACATAGAAGAAAAACAGCAAGAGTATGATGTAAATGAATGAGGTTACAGTAACACTCTGAAATTCGTAGGAAGTTGTTGTAACCTAACCTGATGGTGTTGTCAGTGCGCATACGGATCCAATAAGGGATGGGCCTGTTCTGCCTCATCTTCTTGGCAAGCTTCTTCTTGATCCTGAACGTCTTGTGAGATGGCTACACATCAAATCATGATATCAGATCAGAATCGATAAGCTTTTGCAACAATTCACAAAACAACAATTCATTCTCTCCTTACCATTTTCGCTGTCGCTGATCCAACACGAGAGCCGCAGCACTTGCTTCACAATGAAACCCTAATTCCTGTCTTCTAAATTCTAATGGCAGCTGCACTATTTTACAGTGTCATGTGGATTGGACCGGGTTCTACCTTTTCAGCTGCTTTTGGCCCATCTTGTCGAAACTATTCGGCCCATAGAAGTCCATTAACCCCTCTAACAGTAAAAATAAAAACAATAAAAAATTGTAAAGTTTTTCGTAAGAAGTAAAAGTTATTTGAATATAATTAAAAAATATTGGTTTTAAAAAATTATGTTTTAAGCTGTTTGGATACAATAATATAAAACAGTTGTTGTTTCTCATCATAAAATTACAATGAACGACATAGAAGACTACTTTTCATGACAAAAAATTACTTTTGGTAGATGTTCCGATTTTAAAAATACAATTCACAATTATCATATTCATTAATTTTCATTTAAAACAATTTGATTTGAATGCTATTATTTATCAAATAACTATTCTCTAAAGGGAAAAGTGTTTTTTATTTTAAAGAATACAAGTTTGTATGAAACTATTGTGTTTTAGTCATTTTTACCTTTTTAAATTTATTATTTATGGGTTCGCTTTTTTCTGAGTTATTGTAGATAAGTTATCTGCAGTAAGCCCAATACGACGTCGTTTTGAGACGAAAATTATGGTATTTTTGTAATTTTAATTTATTTCAGGGTTATTATAGTCTTTGTAATTATAATTTTTTAGTCTTTCAATTCTAAAACGATGTCGTTTTGAAAGTAAATGCAGATAATTTTTCTGCATTAACTGCAGGAATATTTTTCTGATTATTTATACACTAAACTAAAACACAGCAATTTAAGGTTATGTCCTTTAGAATAACAAACATTTTTCTTTTTTTAAATCATGTAAAAAAAATTGTTTCGACAGTTATTAAAATAAACAATAGAGAAAAATATTTGTAATTATAAAGGGCATATCTTTGTGTTATTTTAGATTTAATTATGTCGTTTTGGTACCTAATTAATATTTTTTGCATTCATTTCCTGTAAAAATTATTTTATTATTGTATTTTAAATTAATATATAAGAGTCAATTATATAAGATAATATGTTTGTTATTATGTAACAGGATTAAAATAGAGAATTAAAGCATCTCCCTTATAATCGAGGAAATTTGTTTCACGTCCGTACATTTAGTGGTGGGCTTCGGGGACAGCGCCCCTGAATTTCTTTTTGTAAAAAAATTTTAAATTAACGCTTGAACCCGCTCATAATCTAGTTGATTCCTTAACAAAAGGATGAAGAAATCATGGGAATGGGTATGTGATAGGGGAGGAAGAATAAGTTTTCTCTCTAATCAATTTGCGTTGTTTTAATCATCTCTATACGTTGCTACGTTGCTAACTACTATAAGAATAAATATCATTTTTAGTCCCTAACAAAAAATTTGGTCTCCACTTTAGTCCATTATAAAAAAAGAGTCACATGGTCCCTATGAAATTTAAAGTGGATCTATTTTAGTCATTTTGAGACTAATGCAGATCTTTTTCGAATTTGTGAAGGATCGCGATTTTGATTAAATTGATTCACTTTGAATCTTTTAGGGACCTTCTTGAGACTAATTTTTGGTAAGGGACTAAAATAGGGACCATATTTTTTTGTTAGAGACTTAAAATGATATTTACTCATATTATAAATATTGAACTAAGAGACAAATAATCACTACAAAAGAAAAATTAAAATCCAAATATTAGCACTCGGCCATTGGCAATTAATCACAAATTTAACATGATAGTAATTAAAAAAGGGGTCATAAACTTTTGTGATTGACCGAATCAAAAATTTATCTTTTTCATTTTTCCTTTTTCTTAATTAGAATTTAACCTTTTGTTTGTATTATGGAAAGCATATGACTAGTAAATAATAACAATATAATCTCTTTATTTTAAAATAATTTTTTTATTTATTAAATTTTAATTATTTCAAAATATTTGTCACTTTAAACAATTAACTTTTGATATTTTTCATAATGTAAAATAAAATAATATTAATGAAATGAGATAATGTACCATAGAACAAACTTATATTTACTTAAAATTAAATAGTTATTTTTAACGGGACAAAATCCTTCCACAACGTTGTCAAATTAAAAAGTTTGATATTAAATCTTGATATTTATGAATCTAATAATTATACATTATTAAACTAAATTTATTAATTAATTAATCAGATTTGTAAAAATCAACTGTTATGATTTAATATTTGATACAGATGTTAAATGATCCTGTCTCAACATTAATTATTATACAAAATTGTACGCACGATTATTTTAAAGCGTTGGGAGTAATTTTATCAAAGTGAATGTAAAAATAAAATAAATAAAGAAAAGAAAACGGGTGGCAGCACATTTTTTGTTTTCTTTTCTTTTCTTTTCTAAAGCAATGAAATGAAAGTATAAAACCTCAGTTAAACCTTAATCTAGAATGCTGCCTCGTCTTCAGTATCCTCTGTGAATAGGGTTTCTACTTTCCAAAACGAATCAGAGGGCTTTCGATTTGGTTGCTCACCGATTTAACGGTGTTTGATTGTGCATTTTGCGAAAATGCCTCGTCCCAAAAGAAAAGCGGTCCCACCAATCATTTCTTCTGATGTTGATTCTTCCGTTCGTGGTACTTTCATTTCTTGTTTTCTTCCTTCCGATCGATTCCCGCTAAAATTAATAATGAATATTATTTATTTATTTTATTTATTTATTTTTTTAATCACGGGGCAACGAGTTTTCCCTGCTGGAGTTGGCAAATTTCGATCTTGCTTGATCCCCTGTATTGATCGAAGTTTTATTCTTATAATTGGGCTGTGTTTTCCTTCATTTTTTCGGAGACGAAACTGTTTGTTTAGTTCGTGGGTATGCGCTTTAAAATTTAAAGCATGAATAGAAAAGGGTTTGATGTTGTGCTATTGTAATTCAAACTTGTTTGATGCAGTTCAAGTGTAGCAGTGTCTGATAGACAATATAACAGGAAAGGATGGTGGTGGTGGTTTCTATCTTCTTTTTGGAATGCTTTCCATTGATGACCTGAAGTAGTAGATATTATTTGCCTATTTATGAATCGTTTGCATGTGATGTGATAGTTTTATTAATTAAATTGTACATGTGATAGACCTAGGCAATGGTTGGTGTTGTAGGAATTCCAAATAATGATTTTATATTATTTGCTTTATGCATTTTACAGATAACTGCAAGCACATAACTTGAAAGGTAACTTGTTTCTGATATAGTAGCACATGGAATCCGAAATTGTAAAAACACGCCTGCGCTGACATAAGATTGTCTGATATGATATTCCTATGAATCATATCACCGTGGTTTAAAATCTAGAATACCAGGAATTCATATCTTGTGCATGTTGGTTTTCCGTTATCGGGCACTATATTTTGCTACTTGCTACTATACTATGGTGCCATTTATCAAGACAACCTCAATGTGTGTAGCTACATGGTGATATTATCTAAGAGCAATTTTTAGCCTGATACTTCTATAGTTCTTCCAGAGTGCTTAATCTATTTATGGAGGCCTATAATTAAAATACTACATGGTACTTTGATTTATTTTCACACCCTTATTACCTCTTTTCTCTCAAATCAAATCTATTATTCTATCTAGGGATGAGACCTACGTTGATGTTGAGGGGGGCAGCTGCAGCCCTATATATGAAATTTTTTTGTACCCTTTTGGTTAGATTTACTGTAAAAAATTATTTCAAAATAAATAAACTATTTGCACCCCAAATAAATAATTCTGGTTCTGCTCCGCTCCTTATTCCTACAAAGTATCAAAATTAAAAAAGGACTCAGAAAGTATGCTTCAATATTTCACAATGTATATCGTCCTCTTTATTTTGCGTTACTGTTTCTAGCTTTTTTATATTGTTGTTGATTTTTTTTTTTTTCCTTTTTTTGTTGTAGCATTGCCTTCATTTTGCTGAGTTCTTCTTGGTAGTAATTATTTCATTTCATGTTATTATTCAGAACCGAAGAAATCAACTGCAAAGCATTTTGATCGAATAGATCACCTATTTGAATCGTACATAAATAAGTCATTGGGCTTGATTGAGTAAGTATGTGAAACCATCCAGCCCCTTCCCCTTATTTCAGTCTATTGCATGCTTTAGTTGTTTTTTGATGTGGTTTAGGTTTGAGAATTTATTATGCTTGTTATATTCAATTGCTTATTGAGAACTTTGCTTATGTTTAAGTAACATGATTTAATTTATCCCTTTTCCTGTGTTTGTTTGTGGTGGTATTAGGAGAATATCTGCGCTTGGTTTGATATGGAATTATAAACTGTCCAGGTCGAATTAAATTTTTTTGAGATTAGTTTACGAATTAGATACATTTTCTACATTATTATAGAAAGATCTTTGGAAAATCACACAGGGATGCACGCTGAGGTCCAAAATTTTATTTTTCTTTATATTTGATAGTTTGTTTTGTGCCTCCATCCTGGTTAAAGTTTATGTCACTCTTGATGCAATTCTTTATACTTTTTGTTTGGTTGGTCAGCCCAGAAGGCATTGAAGCACTCTGTAAAGATGTGCGTGTGGACCATACAGATGTTAGAATGCTGATACTTGCTTGGTACGTAACTCACTGGGTTTCTTACCCCTTTACCTCTATCTAACTGATCTTTTAACCTTTATATATACATATGATCTTATCAGGAAAATGAAAGCTGAAAAGCAAGGTTACTTCACCAAGGTGGGTATAGAAAAGTATTGCTTTACAATCTTTTTTTAGTAATACACTGCTGAAAACATTTAGATAAACAACATGCATGCATTATTAATTTCCCACTGTCTATTCTACTGAGACACTCATGGACCAGATCATAGCTTTGTGCTTTGGATGGAACCGTTTGTTTATCACTAATGTAATGATATATTTCTATATGTACTATGTTTTGATAGTATATACTCACATTTATTCTTTTTCTAAGTATTTTTTTATATATATGTGATCCCAAAGTGATGAGGAGAGGCTTAACCTCATGTTGAGAAAAAAAAAAAGAACCCCTCACTGAAAGACAACTCCCATTTGTTCCTTTAATTTGTGAGTAAATAATAATGGATTAACCATAAGTGAAATTGGTAAAGTTAACAGTATGGCTCTACTGTGAAACTTTGTTGTACTGAGCTCGTGAGTCGTGACATAAGTAATACTCTTGACAATAGTACTGAGAAAATGAGGGGTGGAGCAAGACGGATGGATTCTGCTATATATATTGTGTCAAGTGGTCATTTGATGTCCTATGTAAGATACATCACGTGACAAAATTCTAGCTTCAAGGAAATAATAAGCTTGATGTTGTAGGGAATCATTTGCAATAATCCGATGGTAGGAAAAAAATTCTTTGTTCCAAATTTATAATGAGAAAACTTTAATAAAATAAAACTTCAAGCATGGGTATTGAAAATCATTGTTGTGATTATTTGTGTTTTACTAAATTAGAGGTTCATGCTTACATTTGTTTCCATTTATATCAGAAATGGGCTTGCCCACAGTTGTTGGTATGTTTTAGGAGATCTACAATAAAAGACAGAAGACAAAATCCTTTCAAAGTTAGTACACAGTATTAATTGGATGTAAGGAAATAATCTTTTGGAATCAAGTTCTGCCTGATTCCTCTAGGATAAGATTTTCTTAAGAGATATTTTAAGTGTGATTGTAAGTTGGAATGAACTGCTATGTTAATGTTACTTTTGGTCTTTTTCCTTTCCTGTATTTCTATGTTTCTTTCTTTATTTTTTGGTGGTACATTGGATGTGCAAGCACATGGGTAGAGGAGAGATATAGGTGGTCTGGTGGAGGATTGAACCCTCAAACAACCTCATCAGTCATCGCATCCAAAACTTCAAGACTTGGGCTGATTTCAATTGAGCTATGAGCTCGTTGATGTGGACATCTATCCTTTATATTCATACTGATTACTGAAATACTGAATTCCCTCCAGTAAATAAAATTTCATTTTATTCCAATAACGGGCTGAATCATGGACTGAGATGAGCTTCTTATTGGATCCACTTTGAGGGTCATTCTGAAAATAGTTAAATACTTTTTATTTGTTTAAATCTTGAAAATCATGTCATATTTGGTTATCAATTTTGCGCCTTGTGTGAAAGCAATAGACTGCTTGATGTCACGATATGGTTGAACCACAATCCACTTATACTGTTGATACGCCAACTCATGTCATCATCAGTTGAGACTTGAGACAGCTTGAGTTTCCTTATTTTAATATTTCTTTGTTTTTGGATATGTCATGATCACAGTTTCTTCTTTCTCTGAATAGGATGAGTGGCGAAGGGGGCTCAAAAGTTTAGGGGCCGAAACACTCACAAAATTAAGAAAAGCAATTAATGGACTGAAGAAAGAGGTTTTTTTTTTTTTTTTTTTTTTTCCGGTTATAAATTACTTAGTAAAGTTTTCAGGCATTCTTATTTTGATTACCATTGAAAACGGATGATGTCCTTCAAGAAGATTTCTGGTGATACTTATTTCCTTTGTGTGTCTTGGTTAGGTGACGGTACCAGAGTGCTTTGAGGATTTTTATTCCTATGCATTCCAATACTGCCTAACAGGTAAGCTTAGTATTGGTGGGCTTCTATTTCAATTATAATGTAGATTTGTTGTGCTACATTGATGCCTTCATGTTCTTGTTAATTTCATTCTGTAACTGCTTGATCATTGAATAATACTTTCAGAAGATAAGCAAAGGAGTGTAGATATTGATACCATCTGTGAGCTGTTGAATGTTGTTCTGAGATCTGAATTCCCTGGTCAAGTCAAATTATTAATTGAGTATCTAAAGGTGGGTAGGTGTTTATATTAGTATTATTTTTTAATCTTCTATTTTTAGTTAATGCTACTCAGCTCCTCGTGCTTGATCGGTTAGAAATGTTGATCAAAAGCATGTTATTATTCATATACCTTAAATTATTTTCTGTCTGATGGTTGAAATAATTTTTTGACAGATCCAGACTGACTACAGGGCTCTAAACATGGATCACTGGAGAAATTTCTATCGTTTTTTCAAGGAGGTAATCCCCCCCCTCCGCCCCAAAAAAAGGAAAAACAAAACAAAAATATTACGTACATAATTTACTACTGGTTGAGTTTACTATCTGATTCTGAGGGTAGTAGGAGTCTGGGTAAATTATGAGGCCCTTAGCAAATTAAAATGATAGTTCAATCCTCTGAATGAAAAAGTGAATCACGTCTAATTGTCTATGATGTTTATTATCTTGTTTGTATAAATTGGACACTCGTACATTTGATTGATGAGAGTAGGTGTGCATCATTTAGTCGCATGCAGAAAGAGTGTTTTGACTTTTTGTTGCTTCCAGGTAAGCTTTCTTGATCTTCAAAGTTATGACTCCAGTCAAGCCTGGCCAGTGATCCTCGACAATTTTGTTGAATGGTTGAAAGAAAAAGAAGAGAAAATTTAGTTCTCGTCACCTTGAAGTTTCAGATCAACCTTAAACTGCCAACTTCGAACCAGAATACTGTTTGCAGCGGATTTACAATTGTATATGGCTGTTCTGAGCAATATGTTCGCATTTTTTCTGCAAAAGTTGTTCTGATCAAGCCCATGTAATAACAATTTCATATGGTGTCAACTGTCAAATGTATCGAGTTTTTCTGACCTGAACATATTGTTTTTCTGCAATTTTGTTTCTTACTGCTCATTTTTCAAGGTCTATATGTACGTTCCCCATTTTATCAACTAAACTTCTTCCTTCCTGCATTTTTTGTCTGTTTAACGTTAACCTTAAATAGAATTGAATCTAGAATCTTGACGTGTGAAAGTAATCGATCAAGAACTTGCGAGTCTTATATTTCTTCCACTGTCCGCCGAGTTATTATATGTTCAAGGTATCAGTAGTACCTTTAGTAGTCAAATATTTTCTGGTAGCTGATTACACCAATGGACTTTGGCCATTTATTGACTGACTCAACAATCACTAAATATTGAACAACTCATTGGAACAATACTCATTTATAGCGTGTTTGGCTTTTCATTTGTAAACTTTTCAAATTATGGTTTACGCAAAAAATTAGTCTCTTGTAGTCTTTTGTTTAAATCATGATTTTGTGAGTTTAAGCGAGAAATTAGACCGTTATGTGGCGTGGTTTTAGACTTTTAGTTGTGTTTGCATTCAAAATTCATTACGAGAAGTTGAATGATTGAAACTTGAAAGGCTGATTATTCATTGTTTCTTGTTTTAAGGTGTGTTTGGATAAAATTTTGATAAAAAGTGCTTTAATGATATTTTATTTTGAAAATTTATTTTCTAGCTTAATAAAAAAATTATTGAGACAAATTTTTTTTGACATTTTTAAAGAATTGTTTAATTATCATAAACTTTAAAAATAATAAGGCACACCAGTACAATTTTTTTAAAATTAGACGCTTTTTTGCTATTAGTGAATTGATTCGTCATAATATTTTGTGTGTTATTGAATAACATTTGACTTTAAGAATAAAATCATACTAAACTTTTACACGGCTGCCGCTGTGCAATGATAATTTCTAAAAATATAAAATTGAACGATATATTAAGAGTGTCATAAATGTACCCTTTAAGAGTGCCATAAATGTACCCTCTAAGAGTGTCATATTAATGTACTCGTGTATAATAAATTGTTGAAAAGTATTTCTCTCTCTTATTTTATTCCCTCTTAATTTCTTATTTCGTATCAATTCCTTAATGGAATATAAAATATATATATAAAGATTATTATAACCCTGAAATAAATTAAAATTATAAAATACCATGATTTTCGCCTCAAAACGATATCTTATTGCGGTTACTGCAGATAACTTATCTGCAGTAACTACAAAAAATCAAACCCTTAATTTAATGTCTTTCTTACTCTAAAATATGAGCAACTGATATACAAGTACACCGGCTTTTTGACCCTTATAACCCTTTACTAATAATTAATTATCAAATTGACCTTCATTATAAACTATTTCAAAAATTTAACCCCCTCAAAAAACATAACACCAATCTGCCCCTGTTTGACCGTTGACCACGAAGCCTACCCGGGTACATCCCTACCTACCCGGGTATCTTTTGAAATTTTTTGTCTACCCGAGTAGAGAAGTGTGTACTCGGGTATTGTTCTTGATTGCTTGAATTATTTACCCGGGTACGGATGAGTGTACCCGGGTAAAAAGCACAAACCAAATTAAAGCAATGAACATTATAATTGACTGCATTCGTTTCCCATTAAATTTTACCACCAAGATCTAAGTCAATCTATCCTTTAGCCTCACCAAGTTCAACATCCTTGAGAGGACTCTTTTCTACTCCATCCTTCAATAGTCTAATTCTTCTTCCGTCAGGCTGTTTTTCACTTGAGAAAATGTCTTTGCATTGGACTGCTTTTCAGCTTCCATAGCCCAACTGTAAATTATCATACCAAAAACTGTGATAATCATTCCCATTATATTCTTGAAAGTTAGCTCTGAATCAAATAGCAGCCATCCCAATGTCAGAACACATACTGTTTTCATGTGGCCTAAAACCTGGAAGGAAACAGCTGAAAAGCGCCCGATGCAAAGGTACTGGCTCACATTGCAAAATACAGCTAGCAAACATGAAAGAAGAATGCATAACTGCAGATATTTAAAAAAATAAAAATAAAAGAAATGAATAATCCAACACTACATTATTAAGGATAAATACATAGGGAATACAACAGGTTAAAGTTAATAAGGGAAAAGGAGGACCACTTACCTCAGAATCTTTTGATATAAGAACAAGATTTACCCGGGTACACTCATCCGTACCCGGGTAAATAATTCAAGCAATCAAGAACAATATCCGGGTACACATCTCTCTACTCGGGTAGACAAAAAATTTCAACAGATACCCGGGTAGGTAGGGGTGTACCCGGGTAGGCTTCGTGGTCAACGGTCAAACAGGGGCAGATTGGTGTTATGTTTTTTGAGGGGGTTAAATTTTTGAAATAGTTTATAATGAAGGTCAATTTGGTAATTAATTATTAGTAAAGGGTTATAAGGGTCAAAAAGCCCAAGTACACCTGTTTACTTCTAACTTCTAAGGTAATTAAAAAGAAGTGCTGATTGTATAAAAAAAGTTACTAATATTTGGCTTTTTGACCATTGTAGCCTTTCATTAATAAAAAATTACAATTTTGTCTTAGTTTATAAATTATTTCAAAAAATTAACTTTCGTAATAAACATAACACCAATCTACTCCTGTTTGACCGTTGATCACCCAATTATCCAGGTAGACCACCCAGTTATTCAGGTAGAAAATTATTTACCCGAGTACATACCCGATTATCCTGGTACATATCTTTATTTACTCTGGTACACACACGATTACCCTGATACATATCTTTATTTACCCTGGCACACACTCAATTACCCCTTTTTTTTTGGTACATACATGTCCTTATTTAACTTCTGATACATATTCTTATTTTTTACGTGTTTGCATATAATTGGTATGTGAACATGTGTGATGCATAGGAAAAATTTTGGAGGCTTAATCACAAGTTAAAAAATATTTATTGCTTTTCATTAATTTATTTTAATTAATTGAAAATTAAAAATCAATATTTTAAATGTTAACTTTCCTATTCGATAGTTTATATTTATATTTTTTATTTTTTGTGTGGAGAGTTTCTATCTTAATTACTTAACTTGAGGCATAAGGGAAAATGTTAATAAAACATGAATTTTTGGTTGAAAAATTAAGTTTATTTTGTGAAAAATTAAAGAAAGTTCAAGTCAAAAAAATTATTATAAAAAAATGATGATCAAACAAATAAAAGAAAGGTAAACGGACGTTTTATAAAGAATAAACGTAGGACTCAATAAAGAATCACAAACTACACCAAGTTATAACTTATAACTCACAATTCACTAAGTTGGAAAAAAATTTCCTCAAAAAAAAAAAAAAGAAGTGGTGGAAATTTTCCCGCTCATATGTTTTGTTCAATATGAGATTTAGGTTAAAAAAAAGAAAAACTTCGTGTGCTGAATGCTGCCCGATTTCTTAGCTGTTGATGTTGAATATGAAGTCTGAACTTCCCCTACATGATGAATAGAATGATAACGCGAACATGCAATTCAGCTTTCAGTTCACTGCTCCACTCTCTTTCATGCAAGTATCCATGCCTTCGAAGCTGCATTTTGTCAACCAAAAATGAATGACATTTGTTAACTATGTTGGCAGTATTGAATATTATCTTCAACTTTCTAACCACAAACAAACAAGTTATCACTTTTCCCCCTTTCGTGGTGTGATTGCATGAACATGCATGCTAGGGAGGAATAAAATATTATTTCTTTTTATTGACAAGTAATGTGTATAAAAGCTAACAATGAGAAAGAGAATTAGTATTAACGGATAGAAAAAGAACACTGATATGAAATAAGTATTTATAAGGCATTTATAATTTTTTTTATTGGGGCGTTTATACTTATTATCATTTTAGACTTATCACTATCACTACTGATTAGTTATCGATGGATCAATTTGAAATCAATTGTTAAAAAATGAAAAAAAAAATTATCTACCGTTAATTTTAAATTAATCCAACGATAATCAATCAGGCAGTAAGAATAACAAACTTAAAATGATAATAAGTATAATATTATTTTTGTCCGAGCTATAAACCATCCAAATTTTTCCTAATTTGTCATACCTTTAACATTAATTATTCTAAAACATATGCTATTTATAATTAATTATACACAAAATTATGAATTATCCACGCACACTTTTTTTTTTTTGGTACAGTAGAGGGGCAAAGCCACACACACATTTTGTTTACCTTGAGTTGAGATTTTCCAATCGCTACTATCATAACCAGCAGCCCAAAAGAAATAGCCACGAAGGGAAAGAGATTGAGCAAACCCAACCTTGACCGTTACAGTTAAGGGATCATCGTACCCAATCCATGAACTCCCGTTATAACAATAAACCGACAACGTTTCAACGTCGTACACAACGTTTGCACCCGTTTCGTTTTTGAAATCCAACACTTGAAAGAACGCCATCGCACCATCCAACCCGGGACCCGACCCAACAGCAGGCGCCCCGATTCCATGCACGCTCGGGTCCTGCAGCTGCCACGTCCTCCCATAAAGTACCAAACCCATCACCATCTTCTGCGGAAGAGCCCCGACCCGGATCCACGACTGCAACCCATACGCCACACTGACGTTACTTTTCGGGTCGAAAAGCGCACTCGGGGCTCCGGTTTTGTTTTCCCACGACCCGTGAAGATCGTAGCTCATCACGTTGACCCAGTCGAGGTTCTGGTTGATGGAAGCCACCGGGTACGTACGCGGGGTACCGGAGAGGAAGAAATCCACGGCAAAGTAAACGGCGGCGGTGAGAAGAAGCGGCGGCCGGCCGGCGGCGGAGGCCTCTACGGCGATGGCGTGACGCCACTCTTGGAAAAGTTGAGCGAGGTCGTTCATTTCGTTGGAGCTTCGAGGGAATTCCCAATCTAGGTCAACACCATCGAAACCGAAGGTTCTTGCAACGTCGATGGTGGAGTTAATGAAGGTTGCGCGCGTGGTGACGTTGGAGGCGATGTTAGCGAAGATTGCGGCGGTGTTTGAACCACCGATGGAGATAAGTGTCTTAACTGAATTAATTAGGAAGCTGTTGGTGAACGTTGTGAGTGTTGTTGCTGTGGAATTTGAAATGTCTAGTTTGTATGTGACGTTGTTGGGTTCAATGAAAGCGTAGTAAACGTGTGTGAAGAGTGATGTGTCTATGGCCGAAGAAGGGAAAACAGGGTTGTCGAGCCAGTATAAACCTTTAACGGCCGTGGTTGATCCAGTGGAACAACTCGTGGCTACGGCTAAGAGAAATGCTAGAGAGAGAAACTTCATAAGATTGAGGCTTGCCATGAAAAGAAAGAAAAGATAAAAATGGGTATGGTTTTTTTATTCTGTAGGCTTGCTTGCTTGGGTTTAAGGAGTGATCAGCTAGATGGAATATATATATATATATATATATATATATATATATATATGGATACTTTTTCTGCTGCCGTAGTAGACAGTGTTGTTATTTGCAGCTGATACAGAAAAGTGGGTCCAACGGCTTAAAAAAAATTCAGAATTCGGTTCCGTATCCTAGGATCCGATTTCGTATACTATACTGACTACTTGCTGTATGTGCAGCGGCTGCAGAAATCATTATGCCTATATATATATATGGTTTCGATTTTCTCATGCGGTAGGAGAATTTTTTCATGCTGTAGACACATCTTATGTGGGGCCCACATCTATTAAAAAAATAAATAAATAAAAGAAAATATTGCACGAAAGTTGAAGAGTCACTAATAGGAGAAAACAATTCTCCTACGACATGAGAAAATGTTTTTCCATATATATATATGAGACATAATATTTTTACACCGGTATAAGAGTTAGAAGTCTTACACTCACCAAGTGTGGTGGCTCAGTTGGTAGCATGGGACTAAGTGGTGGGAGAGGACCTCGGTTCGAATCCCACCAACACCATCTGGGGAGGGGCATAAGTACTGTAATCCTTGGACTCGCACTCGAACTCTGGATTAGTCCCATAGGCGGCTCAAAGAGTCGAACCCATGGGGATACCGGGGGTTGTGATTCGCCTCAAAGAGGTAATTAGGATCAGTTACCAAAAAAAGAAGAAGTCTTACACTCAATCTTGGTCATTGATCCACTTGTATCCAATGACTCACATTACTAAAAAATTAGAGCCTTTAGATATAAGTGAGATCAATGGATAAGATTGAGAGTGAGATCAGGATCATTTTACACCAGTGTAAGTTACACTCTCAATCTTGTCCATTGATCTCACTTATATCTAAGGGCTCTAATTTTTTAGTAATGTGAGCCATTGGATACAAGTGGATCAATGATCAAGATTGAGTGTAAGACTTCTAACTCTCTTACACCGGTGTTATAATATCTTGCCCTATATATATATATATATATATATATATATATATATATATATATAGGATAAGCTTTGACATCGGTATCAAATTTGACACCAAATCTTAATCTTTGATTTTCACCAATCAACGGTTATGATTTATTGAAAATCAAACTTATTAATTAATATTAATTTCCAATAAATGATAACCATTGATTGACAGAAATTAACGGATAAGATTTGAGGTAAAATTTTAAAATTTGATACCGGTATCAAATTACTCCCCTATATATATATATATATATATATATATATATATATATATATATATATATATATATATATGCCATAATGTTTGGTTATTGGCTGATTTTGGTTCAAATTTCAAAGGTTTTATGCATTGCATGAATGATTGGAAGTTAGTAAAACAAGGTTAGGCAAGTGTGGGGATGTTAATGAGATTGTAAGCACAGCCGTCCATGGCTTTTTGTATTAGTTTTAATCAATTGGGCAGATATGTTTATATATATTTAAGGTATACGAATAGAATGTTTAGTGATTCTCTTGCCGTTTGAATAAAGTACGAGGGTTTGTGTTTATGTACTGCATGGAATATCCAGCATGATTTTGTTTTCGAAAGTCAAAAGGCTTATTGAGTTTATTTTGTGTACATTCAGATCAACAACTCATTAATGAGAAGACACTCTGTGAAGCCGTACTGAAGTGATTAATTTATGACGAAAAGTTTATTTCAGTAAGTAACGTATCTGAGTTGGGCTGTATGTAAATCTTTATGGGAGAATTTTGGGTTTGACTTGTATCTTTGCACAGTCTTCCCTTTTCGTTTAGAGGAAGAGAAAGGTGGGACTAATTTTGGTCTTATTTAAATGTAATGTTGTCCCTACTGATTTTGATCTTATTTAAATGTTATGTTGTCCCTTCTCATGCTCAAGGGGATTCAGTCTTGTACGTACCTTAGCGAATACAAGAAAACATTTTTTTTAAGAAAAAAAAAGAAGGAAAAATTCATTCACTAGCTGGATTACAGCGTGCCTTGTCTACCGTTGTTAGCTGACCGTGGAGTTGTGTTCATACCACAATTTCAAATGAAGTGAGAAATACAATTTTATTAAATGAATTATACAAGTTTAAGTTTAAAAAGAGCTTTGTTAAATTTTTTGTGGAATTTTTTTTATATTTTTCATTTTTCATTTTTAATTTCTTTTTAGTTTATTTATAGTATTATGTTTTATTTTTATTTTCTATCTCTCATATGCCGCCCCATTCCGTGGCGGACTCAGAAAATTTTCTTTATGTCTGCACACTCAGGGTGGGGGTTCGGGAGTACCACCCTCGATTTTTTTTTTAAAGATCATAATCATGATCTAATTTTTGCTTTCACTTCAAAAGTAAAGCTTTGGTGAATCAACCAAAGTTTTAAAAAATAATCGATAATAATAATTAAAAAATAAATAAAAACTACAAAAAGATATTTGTAAGATATAGTATAATTATAGGGGTTAACTGAACAAAAATCCACCTTTGTTGATATCTATTTGATCCAAAGTTGACCAGTTTTGTTTCATAAAAAAAACATGAAAAATCTCGTGTGATTTTTCCTCCACTCTTTACCTTTTTTCTTTTAATCTTTTATTTATTTATTTTTTTTATTTAACTTGAATCACCCATCTTATGTAAATTTTTTTTTTCCTCAACTTTATGTCTGCAAGTGCAGACAATGGAACCAACCTAGGTCCTCCGTTGCCCCCATCCAATTAATTTAGGATAACAGTGTCGTTGATCTTGATATTGATTATTCCTAATTTAAGCTATAGATGTAACCATTTTCTTGGCACTGATAATTGTGTAGGGCGGAAGGTGGAAGTAGTAGTTTAGTTGTTATCTAACAGAAAAGAAAAAAATATATTGAGACTGTAGTTTCACTATATTTACTAACAAAGTATATATAGGGCTTAATTTGCAGGCCTTGTCAACCAGAGCTCTAAAATATTAATGTGAATTCTCTCTAGAATTATGTTTACTAGAATAATGCATTAAAGTATAGCTGGTTACATTCCTACAGGCTACACGGGACTTATCTGGCAAATTGAAGCTTCGAACAACTTGCCGGAATAAAGATCTATTTTCGAATCTGTCATCATTTGTTATTTGAGAAAGCTGGCCATTTAGGTAAGAGAATTGTTGCCATGTCATTCTTTAATAAGGAGGAAATTTCTAATATTGATTCCATATCAATTGGATTTTCTTGCACACATATATAGTAGGACCACTTGCATGCATCTCAGAAGTCTGCAAGATAAAGTTGAATATAATCATGGAGTAATGGATCTGTTATTCTGTATCTCTTTCCATAACCCAGATGCAGAAATCAATTAGCGTGTTCTTGCAATCATTGTATGTGATTGTGCTGAAACAATTGCTCTTATGTTATATTTTAGATTGTTAATTTGAATCTGAATTTGACACATTTTATTAAATCGAATCAAATTTAGTCTAAACCGTGACACATGCCCATGAACTCCATGGCAGAAAAGTCTTGTACATATTACCATATAATAATACTCACTGACATTTATACAACGGCTACATTCCCAAAAAGAACGATGGTTTTTCCTCAGTCGTCAGAGAATATGTGACAATGATTTTCCAATCACAAAGCACTATCTTCCGTGTTAGACAAGGAGATCTAAGATAATACAATATATCCTATTTCATGTGTAGGTTGGGGACATTAAGGTGAACAATATTTTTAGTAATGACCCTTCAACTAATAGGCATATGGAGATCAAGGCCTAAACCAGATATCACATTTTTGGGAATGAATCCTCTCATGTGATTTAACATGATCAAGCAGTATGAGAGAATTTCAACCATTTATATATATAGACAAATCAAGGGTTATCATTTTATCATTCTCTATCCACATTCTCTAATAATAACAGTTAACCGGTTAACTCAGTCTCTAGTACCTTGATTCATATTTAAGTACTAGAATGTCCTATCTTGGTGCCAGTTGGGAAATTGTAACATCATTGATTGAAGAAAATTTGTTCCCGCAGTGAGATGTATCTTCCTCATCTTTTTCATTTTTCTTTATTGAAAAACCAGGCATTTTAGGAGTACCAATAGCTGCAGCTTCATTCTTGAGCAGTGAATCAACTTCTAACATGGAAGGTCTATCTGCAGAGTTCTCTTGAACGCACAAAAGAGCCACCTGCATGCATCTCATGATTTTACAAGGTGATGTTGTATCATCCAATGAAGGGTCACAAAACTCCACACCTCTTCCTGTTTTCCACAGCTCATATGCCTGAAATAATAAGCTGTTTTTATGAATTGTGTGCATCCCACATGAGCATCAAGCAAACTGAGAATAAACCATAAAAAGAATAGAATAGTCACACAAAAATCTATTTAATAACTTACGTATTCTAAAAGGTTCATATTTTCATGCGTGCCATAATAACATGAAGTCTTCTTTCCGCTTATGATTTGCAAGAGAAGAACTCCAAAACTATAAACATCGTACTTGGTTGAGTATATGCCTTTTCTCACATACTCAGGAGGTACATACCCACTACAAAGCGAATATGAAATGATTAGAGACAAGAAGGAACAACCATAACACATCATCAATGATAATTTACTTACTATGTTCCAACGATCCTGCTTGTGTTTGCTTCAAGGTCATATTTCCTGAAAATTCTAGCCATACCAAAATCTGATATCTTGGGGTTCATCTCATGATCTAACAATACATTACTAGCTTTAAGATCTCGGTGGATTATAGTAAAATTTGAATACTCTTGGAGATAAAGAAGGCCTTGAGTAACCCCTTCTATGATATTGACACGCTTGCTCCAGTCTAAAAGAATTGATTTCCTTGGATCTGCATCGAGTTCAATTTTTGAAATATTAATCACTAAAATGTATAGCTGAACAAAACAGTGCATTATGAAATGATTGCTAGTTTGATGTTTAATTAAGTATCAGGTTAAGACGCTTAGAAGATTCAGACATACCCATTTAACAAGCAAAAAAAAATTTAGTATGCTAATTAATAAGGGCAAGTATTGTAACAGACCAAAAAGGAAACGATCTAAGCTTTTGTTTGGCAGGTATTCATAGATCAGAATCTTCTCATCCCTTTTATTACAGTATCCCAGAAGTCTAACTAAATTCACATGCTGTAGTCTTGCTGTAAGTGTGATCTCATTTTTGAACTCTTCAAGGCCTTGATTTGAGGTTTCTGAGAGTCTTTTTACAGCTATTTCCTGTCCCTTCCGTAATTTTCCCTGAAAAAAAATCAAATCATAACTTAGTCATCCAAGAATTACTTGTCTGCACTCTCACTTTGTAGCGTGGCTTTTTACAACCTTTCCTTTATGACGTTAAAGTTGTTTACAAAGAAGAGGAGATTTCAAACTTTGATTAGTTTTCACAGTGGAAGAGGAAATTCCTAGTATTGTATCCTTTGATCAATTAATCAATAGAAAACAAGGCATAACTAACTACTCTGTATCTATTGCAAATTCAGGTACAAAAGTATAGGTCTTTGGTTGACATTATTAGGTACTAAATAAATAGATGCTTTTTCATGCGAAACTTATTCATCTGGATCAATGGTAACTGACAAGAAGTTGCATAAGCTGTAGTTCTGATTCATACATCGATATTAAATTTTATTAGTTTTTCATGTTAAAAAATTGCTGGATGTGATGCAGTGTCCCGGATATGATGCAGCTAGAGGAGTTTTGGCTAAACAGAGATTAAAATATCTCAACAATTTAATGCCTACAATATCAAATAAAAAAAATACATCATCACTATCCTTGCCACAGAAATTGCAAACGGTTTCAACCTTCAATTCAGAGTTTCTCTTTGCCTGAAGCACTGACAGATGAATTTCCAAATGTTACCTTGTAAACTGTGCCAAATCCACCCTCTCCAAGCTTATTATCTTTTGAGAAGTTATTTGTTGCCACTTTAATTGTGAAATAACTAAATACTATCAGATCAGAAGCATTTCCATCGAGATCCTCGTCAGCTGCTGATAAATATCTCCTTAGTTTATGTACTATTCTGGTAACAGTGGCTACTATTCCTGCCAAGACGGTGGGAGGTGAATAAAAGGGAAAATGTACATATGGTCAATCTCTTGATGTATAACTCAATTTTATCACTCTCAGAAAAAAGGAATTACATCCTTACCTCGGTGGTAGTAGCAAAATACTATTCCCAATAGAAGCGCGACAGTCACAGTTGTAAGCAGAACAATTATCAGCAACCTCCTCTTATGATGTTCTTCACCTATTTCTTGAGCTGAAAGATGGTGTTGCAAAAGAAAGTGATGCATATGTTATTCCAGAAACTAAGAAGAATATTGTATGCATAACAACACAAATATATAAATATAATCGTGGTGCCTACCTCAGCCAATGGTTCTTTATTTCAAAAGCATGGAAATTAATATCCAAACATCTAAAATTAGACTAGGGGTAGCCAAGGATCTTCAGCATTTCAGAAGTAGTTGGTATGCCATAATTTCAAGTTAGATATTTTCAATTAGAAAACAAGCTACACGTGGACTCAATCCAATTGCAAAGAATGTTTTGCCTAACCTCAGGGTGGTAAGTTTTGGTTTATATTCTATAACTCACCTGCCCTTGAAAGGACCCAATTTTCATCATTGCCCACTTGGAACACGTTGTAACCAAGTAGCCCATTTTTCTTTGCATAAGAAACTTTGGCCCTGATTACCTCCACATCATCAAAATTAACCCAAGTGGTGGATGCAACTGTGAAGTGATTCACCACAAAAGTAGCATTATAATGTGAAACAACACCATCTCCAAAGCTTCTAATGTAACTCTTTATGAACTTATAAGCCATGGAACCGTCCATTGTAATGGCAGGTCCTGATGCTGGTGTTCCAACGCCATTGTTTCCTCGGTTCACAAGTTTCCATGCATATCCATGATAAGGCAAGCCAATTACCAGCTTCATAGACGAAAATCCCCTCCTCCTCCACTCTTTGATACCAGAATCAGTATTATCCCAACCAGAGGGACCATATAAAGCTGCATGAAAACCCGTGACATTGTCCTTTCTAGGAAGATAGTAATCATATGCCACAAAGTTGACCCAATCCAAGTTCATCTGCATTGAATCAAAAGGGTAACTCAAGGGGTCCGAAGCTTTAAGGTAGTAACCTGCCATCACCAAGATTAACTCTGACTTGCTAGAGTTTCTTGCCTCAGAAGTTATTGCAGCTCGCCACTCCTTCAAAAGGGTTCCAAAATTGGCAAGGTCCGAACTTGGCCATGCCCCAGTAAGGTCTATACCTTGAAACCCATATAACCTGGCTGTTCTAATCGAAGAATCAATGAAATTTTCCCTATAAGAAGATTGGTTTAGCATTGAGGAAAAAACTGAGGAATTCTCTCTGCCACCCCAGATGGATAGAAGCGTTGAAACAGATGGGTTTTGGAGCTTCACTGTGTTGGTAAAGCTTGAGAACTTGTGCTCCTCCGAAGAGTTGATAAAGATCTTATAGTTGGTGGTGTTTATAAAAGCAAAAGCGCATAAAAGGTGAGTGAAAAGGGTGGCTTTTATGTCTGAAGCAGATATTTCACTGCCAGAATAGTAATAACCAGCCTTCACCCACGATGTAGTGTCTGCAAAAGATTGAGATTTGAGAGGGAGCAAGACAAGGAGGACAAGGAAGAAAGCAAAGAGATATGAAGTCATTGTAATAATGAGTTGTGTGTTGGCAACACAAACGCCACTACTCTCTTCTCTTCCTTTATTGTTGGAAAGCTATACACAAGAAGATTGTGGTATAAAAACAAGAACAATGATGGTTCTAGAGCATGTCTATTGTCAGCAACAATAACAGAGGAATACGTGCAAAAAACGTCCACGTAACGTAACCTTTCAAATTTAACATAAGCGTAAAAATTGCACCCGTTTTTGTTTACCAGATGACACGTTAATTTCCATTGTTAATTTGTAGAAACATGTCTCCATCTCAATTTTAAGTCTTTGACTAGGAGAGGAACCCTTTGAGTATATTTTCTAATTCTCTATGGAAAACAGAGTTAATTTTCGGGCAATTTGGTTTTTTACTTGGATTGGAAGGCAGGAACTGATGGCATGGAAAAATGTAAAGGCCTCGGAAGTCATAATTGAATTGGCCCTTTCTTCAATTGTGGGCCAACTCTTTAAACTCCAAAATGAAAAGGAAAAGCTAAGAGTAATTAAAAATATTGTTTTTCGGCTTTATTAATTTTTTTTTTTTAGTATTCTAATCATAATTATCTTTTTATACGAGTAAGCCTAGATATTCCTCTAAGTTTTAATTCATTGGCTATAAAATTAATTCGAGTCAGAGCTTAGTCATATTTAAAACTCATCATCATTTTCACTGACAGAACCAAAAAGAAAATTAGCTAGTGTCAAAAGACTTAGTCAGATAGAAATGAGTCAGTACTAATGTTGTATTATTTTTAAAGAATACAACTAATGCAAAACATGTACTATGATTTTTAAAGAAAATTTATATCGTTTTTGGAAATCAGTCGGTGCCAACGCACCAACTAACTATCAAGTGGCTCCGCCACTCATCATTCCCTAAATATATATTTGTTGGGAATTGAATCAAGATTCTTTCCTTTTATTAATTTTTGATTACTATAATTTATCCCTGTTCTATCATGTTGTTAAAATCAATGACATAATTCAATAATTAAGAGGATACATGAATCACACTAATTGAATAAATTGTAACTTAAATTTTTAGTGCATAAATTATGTATAAAAGAAAGAAATTCTTTTAAAATATATTAAAATCAACGTACACCTTCAATGGAAATAATTTACTCCCAGTGTAAAATATATCTTGATTAAAGATAAGGAGGTGTTATAATATATCAAAATCCGAATAAATCGTCTATATCCTTTCAATGTTTTCATTTATTCGGATGATTGTATTCACCTTTACTCTTTCATTGTTTTATCGTCAACCTCTTATTTTTATGTAAAGAGAAAATTAATGCAAAGGGATATAATTTTCTAAGGTAGCTATTTTTTTTTATTTTTTTTTGATAACAAGGTAGCTATTTTATATCAATCTTAACAGTGAATATTATCTTCCACTATTCATTTAGCAATTATGTCATAACAAATTAACAATCGAAATTGATCTTGCAATAATGATAAGAAATGCTTCAACATTGGTTTTAAATAATCTACTAATAACATGGAGTAAGATCCTTTGACACCAAATTTTCACCATTAATTGATTTGTTTTTTTTACAGTCAATGTAGATAACTTATCTACATTGAGCCCAAAACAACATCGTTTTGAGGTGAAGATTAAGGTATTTTTGTAATTATAATTTATTTCAGGGTTATAATAATTTTTTTCATTATACTTTTTTAATTTTTCAACCCAAAACAATGTCATTTTGAGAGCGAATGTAGATAACTTATCTACATTGAGCCCAAAACAACATCGTTTTGAAGTGAAGATTAAGGTATTTTTATAATTATAATTTATTTCAGGATTATAATAGTTTTTTTCATTATACTTTTTTAATTTTTCAACCCAAAACAATGTCATTTTGGGAACGAATGTAGATAACTTATCTGTAATATTAACTGGAGAAACATTAAAACCATTAATTAATTATTAATCTCAATAAATTATAACCATCAAATTGACAGAAATCAATGGTTAAGATTTGATGTTAAATTTTTTAGTTTGACACTTGCGTCAAATGATCCAAAACTTTTATCAATGACCTTAAATTGCTTTGGTAAAACCTTTACATGAGTGAGGAACCCGCCAAAAAAACGAACTTCTAACTTCAATTTTCAATTAGTTCATACATAAGAAGGGAATGTTTTGACTTAATGACATTTTATAATTGATTGTATTTTAGGAGAAGTTAGTTACCAATGAATAATGCATTCCTTTTTCTTTGCTATAATTTTTTTTCTCTCTAGGTTTTTCAAGGTTTTAACGAGACATGTTTCTAGAGGATATTATCTAATTAGAAGTGTTGTAAAACATGCGTATTTTACTTAGGGATTGTCTTTTCTCATGTTGCATAGGAGAAGAGCTATCTCCTACACACACATAGAGAAGAGAGAGGAGAGAGAATAAGGAAGAGAAAAAAAATTTAAAATGGGTCCCACGTTTACTTTACGTCTTATGCGTAAGATAACAATCTTATGTAAGATTATTTTTTCCCTTTTACTTATTGTGAATCAATATATGAATTAGGTATTATAGGTCTCATTATTGTAATTTTGTGGTCGTAACCTTTAACAGTCCTATTAATAATGTAATAACCAACATTTATATTATTTATATAACCTCCTTTCTCTATTTATGTTTGGAGTCCTCTATAAAAACATATTTTACCCATAGAAAATAACAAGAAAAAAATTATAATTAGTTGCTCAAGAACTAAACTTTTAAAATTTAGAACTAAAACTTCTAAAATTCATACTTTGGTTATCTTGACCGGCCTGCTTTATTGGGCTTTATAAGAGTTATGTTGTAGGAAAAGTGATTGTGTAATGTTATAGAGGTTCGTTTTGCGTGCCCAAATTTCTTTTTTTTCTTTTTTCTTTAAGAAGTGTGGGTCCCACAAAATGTTGTGTGTGTAGGAAAGTTTATTGTGTTATGTTAAATGACAAATGCAAACCCCCGCTTTATTTTATTTATATCAATTGATGTGTCTATTACAACACTTTTCCTCTCCGTCAACTTAGTTTATCATTGTTATAGATTGAAAGATCTCGTAGTGAAAGAATTTCGGTTCGATTTCTATCAATATCATTCTTGGGATAGGTATAAAATCTTAATTTTTGACCCGCTCTGTATTCGAGATTAGTCTTATAGCTAACTCAAAGAATCAAAATTTGTAAAGATACCCGAAAAACCTACTTACCTTAAGGAGATAATTAGGGTTGATGAAGAAAAAAAAAATCTCATCTAAATTGACTGTTTCTTAAAAGGGAAAAATTACTCTTATGTTACATGCGATAAATTTCTCTCCTACACACCCTTCGATAACTGTGTCATCTTTTTCTTCTTTTTTTTTCTTTTTTTTTTTCAGGTGGTGGAGCCCACAAGTTTATCTTTATCACATGAGATAATCTATCTCCTTTAATATGATATTAATAAAATCCTTCTTAAAAATAAATAAATCAGTCTTGTATGGATGGACTCCAAAACAGTTATTACCTCGAAACTTCTCATAAGGTTTATTTATTTTTTTAATTCTAAATCCGACTAGAGGAGGGTTTTGAGAAGGTTCTATTATTAAAGTGAAGTTTAAGAAATTTTCGTTGAAAGGCATAAGAGAGGTGGAAAAGAAGAAAGAGAGAGAAATTCGTCAAATTATCATCGGGAACTTACAGTAAATATTCTAATGAAATGACTTAAGATTTAATCACGGGATAACTTTATTTTTTAAAGGAGAAAAATTATTTTTATACAAAAATTTGAAAATTCTTTTTATATAATATACAAGGCTGGTTTGGAGAAAATTATATTATTTGAAATTAAATGAATGAAATTACCAAAAAAAAATAATTAAATGAATGAGAAGAGTTGAATCTGTAGAGGCTGCTTGCTTGTCTTTCTTGGAGCACAAACTCCTCATGCGAATTTTCTCATATTAGGAATATTAATCCGAGAAGGAACTACTCTTTGACGGTTTGACTGGTACACAGAAAGTTGTTAGAGTGAAATATTGCATCCTATTCGTTTCCCACGACACACGTAAATTTTCCATTTTTTAAGTTGGAGGAAAATGTGTCCTTCTCAATTTCCATTTTTTTCCAAAAGTAAGCTGACTCGTTGAAACTAGGAGACTGGAGAGGACCCTTTCGGGTATCTTTTCCATTGAAACAATGATTATTCTTCGGTCATTTCTATGTAGGCACCAACTGATGGCGTCAAAAAAAAATCTAAAACATATACAAATACGAGGCCTCTAAATTCAAATGCTCTTTTCCTCTTTCACGTCAATTGTGGGCTAACTCTTTAATATTGTGTTTTTTCACATGACAAATGTGTTTTTTTTTTTAAATATTCCATAGTTTAATTCTTTAGTCGAATCTATTATTAGATTAATGTAGGCCTAAACGCACATTTGGTATAGACATAACCAAACACGCATCTAGTACTAACGTGACTAAACGAGCATGGCAATGTGGCAATCACTTTTGTCAAAAATGTGCACTTAGTATTGATGCCATCAAAACACGCGCTGGTACTAACGTCATCAGATACAAATCGTACATGTTCAGATTGCCTTTAACACGCATCTAGTGATGACATGACTAAACACGTAACCACAAATTACACATCTTGCTACATCACTATGGTAATACATTTGATCATAAAACTAAGCTGGCGGAAAATTTCATAAAATGCATTGGTACGATTAAAATGCCTTAATATTGTTTTTAAGCTTTATTACCTTTTGATTCGTGGAATTTAATCCCTATGTTGTTTGTGTTGTTAAAATTTAATGGTGGAATCTCAAAATTTTATGAGAAGAGACGAATAAGCACCATAGTATAGTAGTGGATTCATTCTAAATCAAATTTGATGAACTTTCAAAGTTTTCATCATACATGAATAATAATAAAAAAGAACAAGGATAAACTTTTATATATATTTCATCTTACATGAATAATAATAAAAAAGAACAAGGATAAACTTATATATATATATATATATATATATATATGTGTATGAGGTAGGATCCTTTGACACCAGTATCAAATTTCAAATTTGACACCTCATCTGATAGCCGTTAGATCACAAAAGATCAACGACTCTGATTTGCAAACATATGACACCCTTGATCTTTTTTGATCTAACGACTATCAGAAGAGGTGTCAAATTTGAAATTTGACACTGGTGTCAAAGGATCCTACCTCTCTCTCTATATATATGAGGTAAACATTTCTGCAGCCACTTTAGATAAGGTTATCTACAGCCACCATTTTTAACTATGTTCTCCCGGGAGAACATAGTTATAATAGTAAAGTTGCTTTTTTTTTATCTCTCCTCAGTTACTTTTCAGAACCTGTTTGCTGACGTGGCGAGAGAAAAAAAAGCAACTTTACTGTTATAACTATGTTCTCTCGGGAGAACATATTTAAAGACAGTGGCTGTAGATAATCTTATCTAAAGTGACTGTAGAAATACTTTTCCCTATATATATATATATATTGTCATGTGACCAGATTCTAAGGTTTGGTGCGGTAAAAAAATATAGCTATATACAACGGATAATACATAGCTATAATATTAAAGTTGTGTTTTTTTTTTCTCTTTTCAGAAATTTAACTATGTACTACGGGTAGTACATAGTTATAATATTAAAGTTATTTTTTTCTCTTCTACGTCACCCAACAACTGTCTGAAAAGTTACTGAGTAGAAAGAAAAAAAAATAGCTTTAATCTTATAACTATGTACTACTCGTAGTACATAGTTAAATTTCTGAAGAGCAAGAAAAAAAAGTAACTTTAATATTATAACTATGTACTACCCGTAGTAGATAGTTATAATTTTTTGACCGCGCCAAACCTTAGATTCGTCCACTATACATTCGCTAAAACCATATATATATATATGAGAAAAACGTTTCTCCGGCAACTTGAGATAAGATTATCTCCGGCTACCCTAAAACTACGTCGTTTTGTTTATTTATTTCCTTATGTTAATTGATTCATGTTTGAATGGTTATGATTCCCTTTTTCTCTCTCTTCCTTCATTACCATTGAACCATCTTTGTACGGTTATGATCTATTAGCCGGAGATAAAATTATCTCCGGCAGCTTGAGAAACGATAAGCCCATATATATATAGGCAAAATGATTTTCTGCAGCCGCTGCACCTACAGCAAGCCAGAATCCGCTTCCGGATCCTGTTTTTTTTTTTTTTTTTAAATCTGTGGGGCCCACTTTTCTGTGTCAGCTGCAGATAACATTGTCTACGGCGGCTGCAGAAATGATAAGCCCTATATATATATATATATATATATATATATATATATATATATATATATATATATATATATATAGAATCAACTTACACCGGTGTAAGAATAATAAAATTTACACCAAATCTTAACCGGTGATTTTCGTACATCCAATGGTTGAGATTTATTGGGAATTAAAATTAATTAATGAGTGAGACCTAATAAATCTTAACCGTTAGATGTAGAAAATCAATGGTTAAGATTTGGTGTAAGATTTATTATTCTTACACCGGTGTAAGATGATCCTGCCTCATGTATATATATATATATATAGGGGCATGATATTCTTTCACCGGTGTAAGAGTTAGAAGTCTTACACCTCATCTTGACCATTGATCCACTTGTATCCAACGGCTCACATTACTAAAAAATTACAGCCCTTAGATATAAGTGGGATCAACGAATAAGATTGAGAGTGTAACTTATACTGGTGTAAAATGATCCTGACATATATATATATATATATATATATATATTATACCTACTCTTTTCTAATATCGTTATATCATAATTTCAACTAATTTTCATAATTCCTCTCCCACTGAAATTGTGATCTAAAGGGGCGTTTGGTAGAGGAGAAATTTTTTTTACCAGGGAATCACAATTACTGAGAATATGGTGGGAAAGTGAGTTTTCTGGAGAAGTTAAAAAAAAGTTATTTGGTAGGCCGAAATATTACCGGGAAAATTGGTTTAAGTTTCTTGATTCTATGTTTGGTTGAAAATAAAATATTGCTGGAAAAATAGGTTGAAAATATGAAAGTAACTCCCGAGGGATATTTTTGTCCACATTTTCGCACCCAAATTTGTTGGTTTGTCGCAAAATCAGAATACCACCCTTTGGGTGATATTCTCTGGTGGTATTCTGCTTTTAATTTTACACACAAATCACATTCCCATGCAAATGAGTTTTTTAGGCAAATTTTTTCCAAACCCTTACCAAATGTGGTCTCCTTTGAATCCCATCCCAACTTTCCTAGGCAACAAAATAAAATTTTCCTACCAAACACCCCATTGGAGAGAAGCATGTAGAGTAGGTATAAAAAAAGTTGGCATAATATCCTATTCCTTTTGAGATAGGATATTATGTCTATTTTTTTCCCATACCTACTCTACATACTGCTCTCATATATCATTTGGTCATAATCTCAACTAACCTTCATATTTTAACTTTTTCATTGAGATTGTGATCTAACGATGTTAGAGAGGAGTAGATAGCATATGCATAAAAAGTAGGCATAATATCCTATTCCTAATTTTTTTTTTTGAAATATATTAAAAGCAAAGTAAACCTTGATTGGAAATAATATACTCCCAAAGCAAAGTAGATCTTTGTTGAAAATAAGGACGTATCCAAGTACTTCCATAATATAGATCGGGTCTTTTTACTTGTAAATCACTTTTGAAAAACGAATTCATATAGTTTATTTTTTATTTTTTTGTTTTAGTTAATAAATTTTTATTTATATTATAAAATATCATATTATTTAATATTTTTAATATGTTGAAAAAATAATAATAAAAATTTCTTATATTCATTATTTTATTTACAAATTGTTAAAAATAAATAATAAAATTGTTAATAAATAAAGATATATATATATACGAGTCTACAACCATATTTTGGGTAAAAAAGAAGCCCAAGGAAAGGAAAGTTTATTGGGTCAAGCCCAAACGGAGCCAACATTCCTTCGATCCGATCCGATTTTGCACGAGATCTTGTTCCATGGATCGCCGGGAAAGCGGAGAGAAAACGACGGCGACTGAAGCCTCAACCTCAACCACCACCACCACCACCACCACCACCGTGAATACCGTGCCGCAAATCTTAGCTTCAGAGGCTTTTATCGTTAATCTGTTTTGTGGGTTTGGCTTGGTTTTAGCATTCTCTGTTGCTAGTAATCGCTACACCATCGATCTCGTCACTGATCCTTCTCGTACCCTCTTCTTCATCTGGGTACCATCCATTTCTCCAAATTTCTTTTCTTTTCATTCATTTAACTATGCCCAAATCTCTTTGTTTTCTTCTTATTATCTTTTTCTGCTTCGTTTTTAGATTATAGAGCTTCCCGTTGTGATCCTTATTTACAGTCGCTATCGTCAGAATCGTCAACGATGCTCGGTAATCCGGGTTCCATTTCATTTCTGCTATATTTGTTCACCCCATTCTTTTGTTGGTGCGAACTTATTCAGTAGCATATGAAAAAAAATGTTCTTTTTTTAATTTTGGTAGTAATAAAGATTTAGTAGGAAATTCAACTTCATTGAATTTGAGGAATAAATTTTTCGAGAAAACCTTGTTCGTGATATATTTTCTATTTTAATTTCTCATTAACCGAGCAATTCTGTGATCATCTGGTTTTCTCTTCTGGGATGTTCTGAAGTTCTAGCTGTTTTCTGTTTTCGTGTGATATTTTGCAGTACCTGAGAGCTGTTGGAAGAGGCCTTCTGGGAGTACCTGTTGGTTAGTTGAAACTTCTGCTGCTTCTTTTCTTTTCTTCTTGTGATTGTTTTTGGTTGATTTGCATGCCAAGTGGCTTTTGTATTAGTACTTCTTTTCTTGTCATGCTGGTAATCATGTCTACACTCAACTACCACTTCTGTTTTGGATGAATATAATAGAAATCAAGGGACCTTCCAAACACATTTTACTGAAAATAATTGAGCCCTGGGATAAGTATCGTTTTCTAACATTAGAATATTTAACATATAATTTACGATCCTTTTCTCATTTTTATCCTACCTTTTTTTTTTCCTCATCTCTGATCATATTTTTTGTCATTCTCCTTCTTGTCACTGTCATTTTAAATATTCTAAGGTAAGTGACTTGCTGTTTTAAAAAATCATCATAGTTCTTGTGTCTTATGCTTTACAGGGGCACTAATAAATTCTTTAGGAGCTATTGCTTTGGGGGCACCTGTTACCATTCAGTATGTGAAATAAGTGGTATATACAGTTTTTAATTTATTTTAAAAATCCGCGTATGACTGGAATCAAGGTCATTTTTGAGGAAGAAATAAAGGATCAAAGTCGACGCTATTCTTCCTTTATACAAAACATGTGTGGTGTTTTCTGTGACTGTGACTTCTGAAATCTTCATTACACAGGTATCTGCCAAAGACTGTACATTGGTCTCTTATGATGTCATTGTTCACAGTGAGTGCCTAATTCATTTCCATTTTCTTATTTTACGGCACCTTGAAGACTATATCAGTGTTTTTGGTTGGACTTGTTTAATGTAATTTGTATTCTCCATCTATTTTTTTCATGATACAAAAAACACTCTCCGTTAAACCTTCACCAGTGAGGATATGAGTGAAAGTAATTCTTATATGCAGCCTTACCCTTGTTTTTTCAGATTTGAACCCTTTACCTCTCAATCACAAAGGAAAGGCTTTACCGCTACTCTAGGCTCATATTTTACAAAAAAAATTTATCTTGTTCATTTTTCATTTTTTGAAAACAAAAATATCATGTATGAAATATATTGCCGTAGTACTATTGGAAAACAGTGTGGCTGCAATTCAAGTATGTTTCAAGTGTGAAAAAAGGTTCCCAAAATTGTCAATACCTGGAAAAATTTATATTTTTCTAAAATGCAATATCAGTTCAAACTTGTCTTTTTTTCTTCTTTTTGTATGATTCTCAATTGTTAAGATCTCCAAACATGTTGTTCAAGTTGTGAAAAAAAAATCCGGAGGTCTCTTTTCAACCACCTTCCCTTTTCCTGATTTAAACACCACTTTTCATGGGATAGACCTTGTTGCTTTAGGCTATGGGCTCATGATATAGTACATATATAAACTAACATCTTGTACAATGACAGACAATTCCAGCATCATGTGTTCTTGGTTCATCATGGGCTGATTGGCGACGTATATTTGCACAAACAAAGTATGTTCCTTGCTGGGGGATGGGATGGGGATTAAGGGTAGAGTTAGTGGTATATTGCTACATTGAACCAGTTATTTGCTATCTATTTTTTTAAGCCTTTTAATTACTACTAATTACATCTTTGTTGTTTTTCCTTGTATTTACATTTAGGCCAAATGGATCTGTAGAGTATTTGATTTGTTTGCCAGCTCATGGAGCAGTTATTGGGGGCTGGTTTGGGGCTTGGCCAATGCCACTTGATTGGGAGAGGCCATGGCAGGTAATCTTTCTTTCCTAATCATCTATCCTTGAATTCATTGACCATCATATGCTAAAATCATAATGCATATGGAAAGAGCCGTTCTTACCAGTGTAGTGTTAACGTTGTTAGTTACTGTCACAAATCTTTATATACAAAGTTACCAACTCATAAAAAAAAAATACAATTTTTTATGCATTTATCAATCCATTGTTTTATTTGTGTCATCTCATCACTGTTCATGTTCCAATAATTTCTTTCTTTCTTTTTTGTTTCAATAATTTCTATTCCTTAAACAAATAACAAAATGAAGAGTGATCCAAGGGAATGTTTCTGAAAGTAGTAAGCATTCCTCTTCTTGCCATTCATCCAGTTTTGATTCAGCAAGGGAGAGAATTTCAGTAGCAGGATGTGCTACAGATGTCAAGCTCCTTGAGAACTTCGCCTTATAGCTCTCTTTACATAATTTTCTGTTTGGTTATGCTTTCAGGGTAGACTTTTACTTACCAAAAACTAGATCTTATATTAAATCTAGAATGTGGAGGATTATAGTTGAGATGTATAGATTACTTTTTGGCATTGTTTATCATTTGATTTAATGTCAAATTATGCAATTCGGTCTCCTTGACTTGGTTTTTAATGCTTTTAAGTATTATATATTTGGCCATTAAGTAAGGTCTTAATATTTTAAATTAATTTTGTAGGAATGGCCTATTTCTGTGAGCTATGGAGCAATAGCCGGTTACCTGGTGGCAATGGTTGCTTCATGTGGCTTTGTTCTTGTTCATGGTAGATCACAGCATGCCAAACGAGACTGAAGTGCCAAGTGGCTGTTATCACAAGCTTACTTTATAACTAACGAGAAATTTTGGTTTATTTTCTTTTAGCTCTCGTACTGTGGATTATTCATAACCTCACATCTCTTTCTCCTCCTCTATGTTTCAAAAAGCTTAGGAACTATAGTGACGTATTATTATTGGTTTTGCTGACTATAACAAATACATTAGCATTTCTAATTTAAATCTTGTATACATGTCGAAAATTTCTTGTACAAGTATGTGCCTTTAGCTTCCTTCTCTCTAACTGCATCTTTAGTAATTTCTAGTTGTGCATTCTAAGCCATGCAAGATATGCTTAATGTAATGGAATTGCCTTATAACATTAGTCAAATGTGTTTCTGAATTAACTTGAAAGTTCTTTGATCAAAGAAGCGCTATCTCTGTTCCAGCACAGCCCGTTGGAATTTTATAATGGTTCTTTTCCAGCGTGGTTTTCTATTTCTTCAACCACATCTGAATTTCACATCAAAAACCTAGTAGCACATTCACTTTACATTCTTTCATTCTCCTATTCTTTTAGGCATGCTCTCTGTATGTTTGAATAATTATGTACTGCCATGTTTTGCCATTGAATAAATCAAACTAGTTCAACCAGTTTCTTTCCGAGTCAAACAATAAACTTCTCAGGTTAGTAACACTTGACGTGGTCAATAAAATGAGGTAATAGTTATTGTCAGGAATGTATTGTGCATTGAATGGCATCATCCCAAATATTGCCATTGAATGCATCATCGCATACTAGCATCCCACAGAGCATCCTCACCTCACCTCTCCTACGTCGCTTTCCAACTATTCCTCATCCACAGATTCTATCCACCATAGTTGGCATATATCTTTGCCCGCATCTAATTGGACAACTTAGAATTTTGCAGAGTTGTAGCTGTGATTCATTGTAAATTTGTAACTTTGATTTATTATAGCTTGTAATGTTCTTTCAAGCAGGCATTGTTCATTTGTACTATAATTGATATTAAGTTATTTGGCAAATTACTTTAAATATAATGCTTAATTGCAATTTGTAACTCATGGTTCTAGAAAAAGAGAAAGGGTTAGATGCTGCAAATGTGCATTTATACCTCCTCTTCTAGTTTTGATTTGTGGATATAATAGAGAGTGTATTCCAGAATAACACCGGAGAAAATGGCTGTTTAAGATTTCTTTTGGGATTTCAAATGTAGTCACTATAAGGCCTTGTTATTGTAATATCAACATGCTTTTCAGGTTTGCTTGAAGATTGCATTGTTGTTTCTTTGTTGCATAGAAGGAAACTTTGCATCTGAGTCCAATAGTACTATCTGCCCACCATTTGAGTGATGGATGCATCATCGACGGAAATACTTTGCAGGGGATGACACTCGTTTACTTCTTCCTCATCTCTCACTTTTGAAAATGCAGGCTTTTTGGAGATGGCTAGAGAGTTATTATGGTTTCTCAACATTGAATAAACTTCAAGCATGGAAGGCCTATCATTTGCATGTTCTTGGACGCATAACAAAGCAATATGCAAGCATCTCATTAGTTTGCATGGTGAAGATATATCATCAAGTGCAAGATCCACGAACTCCATACCCTTTCCTTCTTTCCATAACTCATAAGCCTGCACCCATTAAACATCAAACATCATGGAATTGATATAAAGATGTTCAAAAATATGAACCAAATAAAGGAACACAAAAATATATCCAATTTTTTCCACCTAAGGTTGTAGAAATTACTTACATATTCCAAGAGCTTTAAATCTTCGTTCTCTCCGTAAAAGCCAGCTATCTTCTTGCCACTTATAATTTGTAGAAGGAGGATTCCAAAACTGTATACATCAGATTTAGTGGAATACACACCCTCCTTAATGTATTCAGGAGGAACATAACCACTGCATCATAACAAATTTATGGGAACACCAAAGTAAGTAGTTAAAAATATAATTATTGAAAGCTCAAATTGTGGTGCCTTATGATCATCAAAATACTCACTATGTTCCCACAATGTTGCTAGTGTTTGCTTCTTGTTCATCTTTAGTGAATATTCTTGCCATCCCAAAGTCTGATATTTTTGGCTTCATCTCAGAGTCTAATAAAATATTGCTAGCTTTTATGTCTCGATGAATAATGGTGAATCTTGAATATTCTTGAAGATAAAGAAGACCCTGCGTAACTCCTTCAATGATGCCAACACGCTTATTCCAATCTAACATATGCCGTCTAATAGGGTCTGTGTAGAATTGATGTATGACAGAAGTAATGTTATTATTAAAAAAAATATATCATGAGATTCCAATTTGATTTTCTGTTCTTCTCAAATAGGTGATTTTTCTCATTAGATTTTTCCCCTTCCATTATTTTTGCAACATGCAAAACATATAGTAAATCATGTAATCTTGATAAAAATGATATAGAATGGATATATCTAATAGAATGCAGGCGTGAGCAGGTGTGTTAATTTTCTTTATCCCTTTTTTTAACAAACATTATCAAAAGAATTCCATCATTTAAGACCTTAACTTAAAAAGTGTGATGCATATTTATATTCAAGTATATATAGAGTTTAAGGTTGCAAAGGTATCAAACCAAAGAGGTAGAAGTCCAGGCTTTTATTTTCCATGTATTCGTACACCAGCATATGCTCTTCTCTTTCAATGCAGAAACCCAACAACCGTACAAGATTCACATGTTGCAACCTTGCAGTAAGTGTTACCTCATTTTTGAATTCCTCAAAACCTTGTGTAGAAGCTTTTGATAATTTTTTTACGGCTATTTCTTGACCATCAGGTAGGATGCCCTGGAGGAACGAACACTTATGGTTAGAATCTTGACTATGTTAATTTGTCATTGCAAGAGTTACAACATTTCACAGGAACATGATTTTATCAAATTGATATAGACATTAGAAATAATTTTGGGATGAAGGGTGTTAACAATATAGTGAGATAGGACTAAATTTGACGGGGGAGGTTATATTTATAATTTTTTGTTTATCACCTCTTACAACCAATTTTCTTGTTGTTGAATCAAAATCAAATTAACGGTTACAACATGGCATCAACTGAGAACAATAGATTTAATTTTGTTCAACCATAACAAGATTGGTTCTAACAGACTAAGAGATGGCAAGAAAAAAAATATATAATAACTATAACGTATTCCATATTTGAATAATTATTATCAGAAATATTTAGGCTTAGGCAATTTCTAGAAGTGTGAAGAATACTCAAACTAGTTGGTAATATTTTATTTAATTATAAATAATGAGAACAAAAAGGACTAAATACTTGACCACTTCAACCAATAGAAAAGACTACGATTGAAACTATACCAAAATCACTAGTTGTTGAAGTAAAGGCACTTGAATGGTTCTCTTATTAAGATTTTACCTTGTAAACAGGACCATAACCACCCTGTCCGAGCTTATTTTCATATGAAAATTTATCTGTAGCCGCTTCAATGTCAGAAAATCTATAGACATGTAAATCAGGAGCATCCCCATGAAAAGGTCCTGCAGCTTCTTTATTCAATATAAGCGAAGATTGTTTAGCAGCGTTAACTGTCCCTATATATAGAACTTAAGGAAGTTAAATAGATGCAAGTCAATTTCTTCATGGATGGACATTTTCACTCTTTAGTCATATCAACTCTAAAATCGAAAATAACTTTACCGGTTGATTTGAATATTCTCTTCCTTAGATAGAAGATAATGACCCCTAAAATGAGAATAACAATAGCAGCTATACTCAAAATGATTGCTAATAATTTCCACCCGTCCTTTTTGTCTTCGCCAACCTGTTCAGCTGAGAATGCAACGGTAAATATGAGTTAGATGGAGCTGTTCGAACTATATATATATATATATATATATAGGGATAAACATTTCTGCAGCCACTTTAGATAAGTTTATCTAACTATGTTCTCTCGGAAGAACGTAATTATAACATTAAAAATTGTTTTTTTTTCTCTTTCCTCATTTACTTTTCAGCTGACGTGGAGAGAGAGAAAAAAACAACTTTAATGTTATAACTATGTTCTCCCGGGAGAACATAATTATAAATGGGTAGCTGTAGATAAGCTTATCTACAGTGACTGCAGAAATATTTTTTCTATATATATATATATATATGTGTGTGTGTGTCATATTGCACAAAGGTCGGCTTAAAATATTTTATTTATGTCCGCACACAAAGTGGTGAAAGTTCGGGCAGTGGCCTCGAAATTTAATTTTTAAAGAAAATTTTAAATACATTAAAAAACAAAAAAGGAATCTACACTCCTTCTCGTCACTATTAACACATTTAGAATTGTTATAGAGACAATTTACCGTGCAGTGTTCCTCTTTTACTTGACAAAGAAGGACAAGGTATTTATCTTATAACCTCACATTCATAATTTTTTCTTTTAACTTTTTTTTACTAAAATTAAAACTTTTTTAACTATTATAATAACAAATACTAAAATGGTCCTAGACATCTGTTTACAATAAAAATTCCAACCGTAACATAACTTTTTTTTCTTCAAAAAAATTGGTGACTGCACTTGCAGTCACTTGCAATAGTATAGATCCGCCACTGATAGTGCAAATGCTGTCTACTAGAGAACACATATTCTCCCATGGCTAAAATTTAACTCTACACGATCATTCTACGATCTGCATTAAAAATTAGCGCCTTAAACATATGACAAAACAGTGACAAAGTGATTATGGTCATTTACTACGCTCATGTGATTAAGTTTATGCGTGCATTGTAAGTTTTTTAGCACTATTTTTGGCTGACTACTATCAACATTTTACCTCATTCTTGGTACAAATTAAATGAGAAAAGTTCTTCCAATCCCCTATCTGCAAACAAAATTATATAATTATATAATTTTATTCTTTGAACTATATTAATTATACCAATAAACCTTACCATGAAAACAATATTATTTATTTTTTGATTTATGAATAACTAATAATTAAATAAGGAAAATATAATAAAAATAAGGTAATTAATATAAAGATTTAGGATAGGAGATAGACAGGGGGTGATGATTATGTCACTTTTCTATTAGTTACTGTAACATCCCCGTCTCGAGCCGGTTCAATTTACATACATATGATACAAACAGAAACAGCGGAAGACTTAAATTACAAAAATATGAGCTAACTTTTTCTTTTTCTAACTTAATTCTTACTCGGCGTAAACGAAAATCGGGCAGAGTTTCCTCTATAAATCGGACAACTGGGGATTTTCCAATCCCACTCAGAAGCATTTCCTGATAAACAGTTTATACAACATATCAATTCAGAAATACCAGATATCCAAATATAATCAAATACTCATACATGGGCGCATGCATAACATGGCTCCGTGCCACTAAATCTAACAGCATGCCATCAAAACATAAACCTATCTGAATACTACATCATCATATAACGTTCCTGAATACTCAAATGTACATGCATCAAACTGATAGACATGTACAAAACATATACAGGCCATATACAAAATAAAGGATCAATATCATGATCCATCAAATGCGAAAATACTAAAATACATCAAACACTCCAAAAAGGTAGTAGCCTACAGCCACTCAAAATCCAGTCTGTCAACTGCCTCAGCCACGTGTCGTGTCCCTGCCTAGTGAGGACTCACCGGAAATCTGGGCCCCTGAAAATGTGTCCCCAAAGAGGGGTGAGATTACAAATCTCAATAAGCTCCAGGTTTATAGAGAATTCTCCATACCCCTGGCTCACTCCTGCATGAAAGTCAGATACAGAGTATACAAATACAACATATAACAGATATCATAACAGAACAGAGCATATATCCATATCATATCAGAGATGTGCGCCGTCATTCCCAAGGGAGGACCCCAAGCGGAAATCAACGCACGTGTTCCCGAGGGAGGACCCCAAAGCGGAACCAGACATATCAGAGGCGTACACCATCAGTCCCGAGGGAGGACCCCAAAGCGGACATCCGGGTACTATACAATCAATGGCCAGAGATTGTTACAGAAATCATATTACAGAAGTCATATCAGAGCAAAACATATCATGTTATCAAATAACTCTATATGAATGCATCTATACAAAGCATCTAAATCACAGTCATACAGTCCAACCATAGTTCACTAACCATGGTGGAGCACTCAAGCAGGAAAAGACTCCTTAAACATAGAGCTTACCTCTTGAAGCTTTACCAATACCCTTACTTGTTGCACAAGTTACTTATATATCTTCAAGAGATTCTGATTCCTTTTTAGTCCCTAGGTACACCTAGAGCAAGAATCCACAAATACCAATTAATAAAATGCCATCATGCCTAGCTTTCACATAAGGCACACATTTTATCGCTTCTTTTCATTTCTTTGCATTTTTGCCAATCCTATGCCAATACACAAGTCTAGACCTCTTTATAACCGTTGGTGTTCTTTAATTTAATCATCCATTCCCTTACGAATTTCCAACATAAATCATAACATTTTACTTTAAAGGACCGTGAGCCTAAAATTAGGAAATCAATATATTTTTCCATGATTTCTTTTCAAACCATTTCACTTCATGCCTTATCATTTTCATACTTTGAAACACACATATTTTATTAAAATAAAATATGACAACATCTTTCCCTAAACACCCTATATGTCGAATCCTTTAAGGGAATTTCCAAGGATCATTCTCTTTTACAATACATTTTCCTCACTTAATTTAACAACTACACGTACATAAATATATATATATATACCAAGTTCCAATTTAATTTTTGGGAATCTCAAGCTCTTTAAATCCTTCAAGGACGAAACATCAAGGGTATGTTTCAAAGGATTTTCTTTCAAATTTAACATTCTTACTAACTCATCAAATTTCCTCTTATTCAAGCACATTAAACCTTCCCAATACATACAATAAATCTTTGTGCATCATCCCTAATTACCCTATCAAGGCCGAAATCTAGGGTATGTCACCATGGGATTTTTTTTTCAATTTTTTATACATGTTCATATGCTTATTCCACATTCCTATATCCAACACATCATCAATCCATCATCAATTCAAATTTTAAACTAATTTATTTCACACCAACATATGCTCACAATTTCTATGACACAAACCATCAAAATAACATCATGGAAACAAAGGTTTCTTACCACTAATCAACTTCCCAAAGCCTAGAAAGCAACCTCCAAGCCAAGCTCCATCAAAACTCACTTTTTCTCCTCCAATGAATAGTAACTCGAAAATGAGAGGAGGAATAACTCTTCACACACTCAACTATAGCTCAAATGGATAGGAGGAATGGATTCATTGAGTGGTTTCCAATCAATTTCATGTGGTGGGTCATTGGATTTGGTGGCATATTCAAGAAGAAATCAAGAAAAGAAATAAAGCCCTAAACCCCCCCTTCCATGATGAACTCCACGGCTTGCAAGAGAGAGAAAGGAGTTTTAGTTGTGTGAATAGTGATTCACTTGAATGACAAAGCTTTATAGCCACATGTGACTTTTTAACAGATGTTTTTCTCTCGCGTATTTTCACTTAAACTGACCCGGAACTAACTCAATGCTACAAACATATTTTTATTTTTCTAAAATCATTTATATTAATTTTTAATTCTTACAAAACAATATTCATAATTCACAGTATGATTTTTGCACCGTTTTTGACGAAATGCACTGTGAATCACTAATTGTACTTCATTTACTTATGAAACTTAAACTTATAAACTTATCATTTTCTTGGGCCTATATTGACTTGCTTGGCACATATTGGACTTTCTTAGTCTTATTTCATCAACTATTTGTTTCTGGGCTCTACCGGTTGCTTAAACAGCAGTACAAAATACCCGGTAAAAACACTATTCACGATATTTTCACGGAAAGTGCCAGACTATACAATTTTTTGTTCTGAACTCATATTTGTCGTCAGAATTATCAAATTATGTTCCTAAAATTATTTTGCTCATTTAAGCTCTACCCGTTAATTCACAAAACTGTAAATTCTTCGGTAGAACGCACTGTTCATAACATAGTCCTGATTACAGTCAAAAATACTCGAAATCGCTCACTGAATCTAATTATGGCATTTAAATCCTTAAATTAAATCTCTAACTAAGATTTACCAGTTAGGGCCATTATAGTTACATATAATAAAAATTAAATTATATAATTGATCTAGCTTAAAAAAACAAATCATAAGATTTTATAGTTCATGGTAATTGTTTGTAAACAATCTAAAGCCCTTCAATAATCAAATTAAATTTTGCAAAAGCATTAATTACCAAGAGGAGTAGTCAATTTTATTTTCCAGACACAAGTTTTTGCAATATCTAAAAACCCAAGGAAACGAGATCAAAATTCTCTCAGCTAGACTAGATATGATTTCTCTTCGAAGATTGTCATCAATTGTTTGATGAAACAGCACAAAACTAATTTAAGAACATTGCAATAGAAAATTCAGATGTTGACTAGTATTGATTAATTAATTAGAACACATGTTCGAGATTCTTGGCATGCAGAAGGAGAAGCAATATTTGAATTGGATTTGATATTTGTCGGATATCTGACCAGTATTCTTGAAGGGGCAAGAAACCAGTTTTAGTTCCATTTTCTTGAAACCAATAAATAAAAGCACATTATCTAAAGCTATGGATTAGGTACTTAGGACTAAATTTTACTCTGTCTCTCTCGCTCGCCATATATAATTTTAGTTCTATAACTAGTAGTACGATCGAAAAGAAGTTCAATAAAAAATGGCTAGGGAATCAAAAAGAAGTTCAATAACATAGAAGAGTGACCAAAGTTAATTTACCTGCTGCGGTTGTAAGTGTCCATTTGTCGTCATCATAGGAAACTAGCCATACATGGTAACCAAGTAGCTTCTTTTCCCTGGCATATTTTACCTTCTTTCGGACAACCTCAACGTCGTCAAAGCCAACCCAAGTTGATCCAAATGAACAGTAATTTGTCACGTAAGTGTCATCATACATTACTGCAGCCCCATTTTTCTGAATATCATTTTTTATGTCCCCATAGCTTTTAAATCCATAATAATTACCAAATGCTGGACCTGTTGCTGGTGCTCCTATTGAGTTGTTATTGGGGTTTTGAAGTTCCCAACCATATCCATAGAAAGGCAAACCCAAAAGCAACTTGCTAGGTGATAAACCCTTCCTAATCCATGCCGTGATATAATAGTCAGTGTTGTTATCACTTGCAGGGTCATATAAAGCTGAAGGTGCACCAGTGAAGTTTTGTTTCCAGGGTGTGTGATAATCATATGCATTAACATGTATCCAATTCAAGTTACTTTTGATTGACTCAAGTGGGTACAAATCAGGTGAAGCTCGAACAACTGCAGTCAAGATCAATTCTTGAAGTGTAGAGTTTGTTTCTGCTTCAGATTTTGCAGCAGCTCTCCATTCTTGGAAAAGTTGTCCCAAATTGTCAGCATCAGAACTTGTCTGAATGGAAGTCCAGAACAAGTCCAGGCCCTGAAATCCATAAAGCCTAGCCATTCTTATTGAAGATTGAATGAAGGGTTTCCTTGAAGAAACATTGGTAATCATGGATTGGATGGAAGTCCAGTTTTGGTAGCCACCAATGGAGAGAAGTGTAGTGATGGATGGGTTCTTGAGTTTGAGAGTGTTTGTGAAAGTAGAAAAGTGATGCTCATTTGATGAGGACACAGAGAGCTCAAAGGAGGAAGTGTTCACATCAGCAAAAGCGCATATCAGGTGAGTATAGAGGGCAGAGTTTATATCTGATATGGGAGATTCACTGCCATAGTACCAGTAACCAATTTTGAACCATGATTGAGCTTCTGAGGGTTGGAACTTCAGAGTGCAAAGGAAAACTTGAAAGGATAGGACAAGTGCAATTCTGGAAAACATTACACCAAGTTTTTTCAGAGCTTCAGATACCTTTCCTCTGAGATATTCTTATCTTATTGCATACACACACACTCATAATTGGTGGACCCAAAATGCTGTTACGTATAATTTAATTCAATGGTTTTGAAAATTCAAGACATGCATTTCCCGGTATGTCTCTTTCATAGAGTTGCGCGCTAAGGACTAACACCAAATCTCTTTCAATGGTTTGAGAAGACTATTCTTTTTTCCTTTTTTGGAAGTTTAAGAAGACTATTCTTTTTTGGAAGTTTTAGAAGACGAAGAAGAAGACTATTCTTTAGTCTTTAAGATGGGGATAAAGAAAAATGAAACCTGGTCCATATCTATAATTTAGTTCTTGATTATATATAAAAAAAGTTATTGTTATTTTTTTTTTTTAATGAAGGCATTTATATATCTTTTATAGTAAATGTGAAATTTGGGGTTCAATTCTACAATTGTTCGAAATAAAAGGATGTTGAAATTCGGCAATAAAAAATATACAGTCAGAAGTAAAATAATCAAAACAAAGAGTACAAACTACAAAAAGGGGAAATATCATTATACGACACGTTTAGATAACTAACCAAAAATACGAAAAATAAAAATAAAAGATATATTAAAATGACATATATAAATTAAAGGAAAGGATCGGTTTAATTTTTTTTATAAATTACACTATATACTCTTAAGTGTACTTCTGAAAGTATATAATGTAGTTTGTAAACAAAAAATTTATAAATATAATTCTTTTTATAAATTAAATATTAACGTTAAACTTATAATTTAAGTTGAGCCAAACAGTTTTTGTGATACGAGATGTATTGGAATAAGTCAATGCGCCAAGTGCGGCGTGAAATATAGTGGCTGTACTTGGATGATCTGGTGTGATGTGAAATTCGATGTTCAATGCTGAGGATTTACTTGTCTTTGACAATTCACCCAACAAATTCAGTAAAGTCACGCGCTCAAGAGGTGATTCATTGTTTGGTAAGAGATTCGGGTTTTTTTTTTTTTTTTTTTTTTTTTGACCCTTATAACCTTTTACTAATAATTAATTACCAAATTGACTTTCATTATAAATTATTTCAAAAATTTAACCCCCTCAAAAAACATAACACCAATCTGCCCCTGTTTGACCGTTGACCACGAAGTCTACCCGGGTACACCCCTACCTACCCGGGTATATTTTGAAATTTTTTGTTTACCCGGGTAGAAAGGTGTGTACCCGGGTATTGTTCTTGATTGCTTGAATTATTTACCCGGGTACGGATTAGTGTACACGGGTAAATCTTGTATGCCCGATTTTGGAGTTCGTGAATTATCAACTATCGTTTCCTTCTGAATAAATGAATACAGACAATTTCTGTTTCTTTGTGTGTGTGTGTTTTTTTTTTCCAATGTCTCTACTATATATTACTGTCCTTCCGTTTCTGGTATGTCAAACAATTCTATGTATAGATTTAGGAACAAATGGTTAGCTTATAATCTCCAGTGGTGTTACACGAGTTGGAATGCCAAGGTGCACTAAATTATGCACTTGGGATAGTGGAAGGTAAGAATCTTGGTATCAACACAGTGGCAGAAGGCTTGGTGAACGATGAGAAGTGAGAACAACTTAATTTTCAACAACGGGGTTGTGCAACATACAATTCTTTGAGAATATGTAAAGTGTATAGACACTAGACAATACATAATCTCACACCTTAATATATATAACATACTTTTTTAACCATCAACAGAGTCGATGATAACTTACTCAAAAAAGGATATAAATAACAAAAAGGGAAATAATAACATATAGAGTAACACATAGAATTCATTAAATTAGGCATATAACAAAATCGTGACCTTTTACTGCCACTACCAACACAAAAGAAACAATCCACGATATCCTTGACAAATCCAGGGAGCAACTGATAGAGAGAACGATTAAAAGTATTAGGCCACCAACTTTTTTGCTCCAAGGATCTATGGCAACCATAAGGTGAAACCAATATCTCTGTTACAAAGTCTCAAAGTCTCTGTTACAAGATTTACCCGGGTTCACTCATCCGTACCCGGGTAAATAATTCAAGCAATCAAGAACAATACCCGGGTACATACCTTTCTACCCGGGTAAACAAAAAATTTCAAAATATACCTGGGTAGGTAGGGGTGTACCCGGGTAGGCTTTGTGGTCAACGGTCAAACATGGGCAGATTGGTGTTATGTTTTTTGAGGGGGTTAAATTTTTGAAATAGTTTATAATGAAGGTCAATTTGGTAATTAATTATTAGTAAAGGGTTATAAGGGTAAAAAAGCCAAGAGATTCGCAACATATATGTGCACACTTCTTGTTGGGTATTAAAAGATCCACAACATATATATACGGGACTTCAGGGTCTGCACGATAATTATTTTATTTTCTGACACTATTTTAAAAAAAAAATAATTTTTATTTATTTATGTGCCTTAGAACAGTTTTTAAGAAGAAAAAGTGTTTAATAACATATTTTATTTTTATTCAAAGAATTAGAATTGCGTTTGATAACACAACAAATAATAAATAAATAAAAAATTCTATTAAATATAAAAAAATTCAGATCATCACTTTTCTTTTTATATGGTGGTGACGACAGTGGCTGCGGCGGTGGTAGTAATAATGATATTGATGGTGGTTGCATAGTCGTGGTGACCGTAGTGGTGGCTAGGGGTGAAACTGGACCGGGCCAGCTTACAAGGGCTTACGGCTCGGCCTATGTCAGACCAGATCTGACTTAGTATATTTCGTAAAATAGGCCGGGCTTGGCCCTTGAAAAAACTTGTTTAATAAAAAGGTCGTAGGCCCACTTTCACAAGGCCTGGACTATAAGCCTACAAGCCGGCCTATATTGTACTATTTATTTTAAATAAAATAAGTATGCCTTGAAAGAAAAATAAAAGATATAAATTTAATCAATTGCAATTATTTATAACTTAATTATATTCGATTATATTTTAATAGAAATCTGAATTTATTTCTTATGTAGGAGGAACTAACATTTCAACATGTTAGATTATGTATATGAATATATTAAAAGGTTTTTGGGAGAGATTATACTTACTACAAGCATCGTGATGTGTTTGTTGGATTCATGTAGTTATTTTAATTTACATAGTATGAATTTGTTTGTTGGATATGATGGAATATATGTTATTTAGTTTGAGCTTTTTGCTTTTAAAAGTGACTTAAATGCAGATTGTATGAGTTTAGTTGTGATTCATGATTCTGTTTCGATGTCGAAATTATGATTTTTGGTTTAGCAACAGAATTTGAGTATTTTGTAAAGTTGATTCATGGTTCTACTTCGAAGTCAAAAATTAACAGGCCAACGGGCTAGGCCAGGCCATTTATTTTTTATAAACGAGCCAAGCCAGGTTAGCAGTTAGACTCGTAGTAGGCTTGGGCCAGGCAAAATTGAAATTTTTTGGCGTAGGCTTGGGCTTTTCGAGGCAAAGCTTGGCCCACCCCAGTCCACTTAATTTCACCCCTAGTGGTGGCGATAGTGGTAGTGGTGACGGCAGTGACTGCGACGATGGTGGTGGTTGTGGTGGCGGTGGTGGTACTGGTGGCATAGTGAAGGTAGTGGTAGTGGTGATGGCATGGTAGTGGTGGTGACGCCAGTGGCTGCGGCAGCGGTGGTGGTAATGGTGGTGGTGGTGGCGGCGACGGTAATGGTGGCGATGGTGGTGGCTACGATGATGGTGATGGTGGTTGGTGGTGGTGGTGGCAGTGGTAGTGGTGGCATGGCAGTAGCTACATCGGTGGTGGTAATGGTAGCGATGGTGGTGATGGCGTGGTGATGGTGGTGACGATAGTGGATGTGACATTGATGGTGGCGGTTGGTGGCGGTGGCGGTGGTGACAACAATGGTAGTGGTAGTTGGTGACGGTGGTGGTGATGGTAGTGGTGGCGATGGCGGTAGTGGCTGCAATGATGGTGGTGACAATGATGATAATGGTGGTGGTGGTGGCGGTGGCAGTGGTGGTGGCGGTGACAGTGGCATGGTGGTAGAGATGGATGGAGGCGGTGGTGATGGTGGCAATGGCATCATAGTGGTGGTGGTGGTGGTGACGACGACACTGGTGGTACGACGATGGTGGCGCTGGTCGTGTCAGGATGATGGTGGTGGTGGTGATGATGGTAGCGGTGGTGAGTGATTAAGAGAGACACGTGTTTTTCATTTTGTACTCGGGAACAAAAAAACAAAAAAATTTTAATTCTTTTTTCTGTTCCCCAGCACAAAAAATAAACCGATTTATCCTGGAAACAAAAAAATAAATCGGTTTTATCAAATGAGTTTTCTATCCATTTCTATTCCAGGGAACAAAAATTAAACAAAATTTGATTCTGGGAAGGTTGTCACACCCTAATTGTCTCACAACAAGAATTGATTCTATTCAGCAGCAAACAATGTATTTTTTGAAAAAATAGCAATCAAAGCGACCTGCATAATCTTCTGGGACTCATTAATAGTAATAATGCAGTTTTTGAAGACACGCATTAAAGAGCTACGTGTATATATGCAAGTCAAGTACAATTTTTTAAAGTCGCGCACAATTACGCGATTAAAGGTCCGTTTGGATGAGTTTTTTTCCTTCAAAAACTATCTTTTTTAAGAAAAAAAAAATACTTATCATTATAAGTTTGTTTGGATGTCAGCTTTAAAAAAGAAAAGCAAAAGTCATAAAAAAGTCAAAAATTAAATTTTTAAAAACTAAAAATTTTAACTTCTAAAATAATAAAAGTCAAAAGTCAAATATTTTTTCAAAAATCAATTTTTTTTTTAAATATAAATAACTTTAACATTTATAAAAAATACTTCTAAAATAAATAAGACATAAAAAATATTTTTTTTTTAAAGGTCAAACAAGCAGTCTCTAAGTCACCTCAAATTCAACATAATACACAATTAGCTGTTTTTTCAACAATACACTGTATGTTGCTGAATAGATTCTAGTTGTTGGTGTGAGACAAT